GTTCAAATAACAAACTAATTGTATTCTATATCTACTTTACTATATATAATAAATAAATAAAAAGGAAATATCTACTTTCACTTTTTCACACGTCTTCCATCTTATGCCTTATACAATTCAAATATCTTCACTCATTTTCAATTCCACATAAATAAAACGTAACTAAATCGTTCATCAAAATCAACCACTTTTTTCTACTTAGTTACTAATATTTTTAATTTAATATTCACACATAATTTATTTTAGATGAAGCATTCATGCGACAAATATCTCTACTCATGAAACATGAAATATATCTGAGTGGGCAACAAGTCTGGTGTCAAGGTGTAGTAAAAAGTGGAATGATTTGGATTAAGAGAGGTGTCCTAGAGCTATTATCGGATGAGGATGATGAAAGTCCTATGATAGCCTTTAAGGAAGGAACTGTTAGTATACAAACAATATTAAGACAATGTTTTATTTCACATCAATATAATAGAAAGTGATATTTTTAATAAGGAATACATATTTTAATATTTAGGTCCTGGGGGAAATTTGCTTATTTTATTCAATTCCTGCGAAGGTAACTATCAAAGCAGCCACTTACGTTGAATTACAGGTAAACAATGTTCACAATGTAAAAGGAATAAAAATACCAGAGTCATACCAAAAGAAACTAGATGTTCATCAAAATTTTAGCCTTGAATATGTAGGTATATACTTTTCCAAACGTCTAAACCACTTGATAAATACTTACCTACCTGATAGCAAAAAAGGTGCAGGATTCCTGTATTTGATCGGGTGTCTCACCAATTTAATAATACACTTGCATACACGCTTTGTTTCGGGATCACAGTTAGTTATTTCGTAAATATAACTAACTGTGATCCCGAAACAAATCGCTTGCTTTTTTCTCTCCGGAATTCACTCGCAACTTCTACTCCCCGGTAAGTTTTCCTTGTTTGATCATAAATTATAGTTTTCATTGGTGCTGATCCAACACCCAATTCTCACTTAAGCTGTACATTTCGCTGTTTAAATGAAAAACTACCACATGCCAAAAAGTTTAATTTTTACAGGAGAGCCAATTGAAAATTTTCAGGTTTTAAACATCCAAGTGGGAAGTTATTGTAATGGGTCCGATTTTGCAAATTGGAAATTTTAATATATGTCCACGTTTCAAGGTCTTTATAGTCGAATAGTATCGTTTTTAGGAGGATGTCCATGTGTGCACATGTACGTGTGTATGTATGTATGCATGTATGTTCGGATTCAATTTGCGCGTCGTGTATCTCGAGAACAATGAGTGATATTGACATGGGACCAGTTTCATTTAACGCATAATTATGTAATTTAGACCTCATTAAATTTTGAGCAAAATCAGTCAAGTCGTTTTTTGTGCCGAATGAAAAATTGTATAAAATATTAAACCATATGATATTTTTTTATTATTTCCCCTGGGAAGTAAGTCGTGTAGACCTTTCGTGTCAAACAAATCAAAAGTACAAATTCTTATTCCAAAACTAAAAATATAATATAATCTAATAGCGTTAAACTTTGTGAGATATCTCAGTAACGAGATATCTTTATAATTAGGATAATTATTAAGTCACAGCTGCCTATTTCAAAATAACTACTATGTATGTGAATATAAATTTTTAATACAGTTGCTGAAAAAGTGGCGTATTGCAGGGACGTATAGCGTTCGGAATGTGGGCTATTACCAATATATAATAATAAATTAAATAAATGTCATTGTTTGATTAATTTATATAAGATGCAATGAAATATTTATTCATTAATAAGTTAATTTTTAAATGTCAATGTGTTATAATATGTTAATAATATTTCTTCTATTTCTAATTGATAATGTTATGAATATCACTAATTGAGTAAGGATAATTTATATATATAAAAAAAAATTGTTGTCATTTTTGATTTTGGAAATAAAAGGCTATTTATTTATATATTGATGATTGTAATTACATTTTTTGAACGTCCGACTACCCACATTATCGAGCGGATCTCATAGATCAACCTGGATGACCCGGTTCGTAAATTGAATCAATACTCGAATGATCGCAATACTAGAAGTGAATGAATGATACATGTCTAATGACACTTAATCCTATGGATCCATTTTTTGATCGATTGATGTGACCCTTGACACCAGCTATAATGCTAGCATCATTGATACACTAAACATGTATATAATAGTATATCAATGGCTAGCATACAATCTGAAGTGGCTGTTGTTATTTTTTAGTATAATATTTAATTTATTTTCAATAGTAGACTTTGAGTTTTAAAATTTTAAATCTTTTCCATCCAAAAATTTACGCAAAACAAACTGGTTGCGCGGAAAACCATTCGTATTTTAATTTTATTCGAGGGTATGCTTGCCAAGCGTTGTCCTTCCTTCGACCTATCCCTTCCGTACACACCGGGGTGGTGGGGTGTGAGGGGAAAGAAGAGATTCTAGAATGTTGCGTGATTCTCGCAACCAATGAGAAGAGCGCCCGACTTCGGTGGGAAAGAAGCCGATATAAGCTCGCGCACTGGGCTCGACCGCTCTCTTGCCTTTGGGCCACTAGTTGCAACCACACCGTCTGGGACAGTCGCGTCCTAGAGGGCTCTTGCCTTTGCGCCACTAGTTGCAACCACACCACCTGGGACAGTCGCGTCCTAGAGGGTTCTTGCCTTTGCGCCGCTGGTTGGAACCACACCGCCTGGGACAGTCGCGTCCTAGAGGGCTCTTGCCTTTGCGCCACTAGTTGCAACCACACCACCTGGGACAGTCACGTCCTAGAGGGTTCTTGCCTTTGCGCCGCTGGTTGGAACCACACCGCCTGGGACAGTCGCGTCCTAGAGGGCTCTTGCCTTTGCGCCACTAGTTGCAACCACACCACCTGGGACAGTCGCGTCCTAGAGGGCTCTTGCCTTTGCGCCACTAGTTGCAACCACACCACCTGGGACAGTCGCGTCCTAGAGGGTTCTTGCCTTTGCGCCGCTGGTTGGAACCACACCGCCTGGGACAGTCGCGTCCTAGAGGGCTCTTGCCTTTGCGCCACTAGTTGCAACCACACCACCTGGGACAGTCGCGTCCTAGAGGGTTCTTGCCTTTGCGCCGCTGGTTGGAACCACACCCCCTGGGACAGTCGCGTCCTAGAGGGCTCTTGCCTTTGCGCCACTAGTTGCAACCACACCACCTGGGACAGTCACGTCCTAGAGGGCTCTTGCCTTTGCGCCACTAGTTGCAACCACACCACCTGGGACAGTCGCGTCCTAGAGGGTTCTTGCCTTTGCGCCGCTGGTTGGAACCACACCGTCTGGGACAGTCGCGTCCTAGAGGGCTCTTGCCTTTGCGCCACTAGTTGCAACCACACCACCTGGGACAGTCGTGTCCTAGAGGGTTCTTGCCTTTGCGCCGCTGGTTGGAACCACACCGCCTGGGACAGTCGCGTCCTAGAGGGCTCTTGCCTTTGCGCCACTAGTTGCAACCACACCACCTGGGACAGTCACGTCCTAGAGGGTTCTTGCCTTTGCGCCGCTGGTTGGAACCACACCGCCTGGGACAGTCGCGTCCTAGAGGGCTCTTGCCTTTGCGCCACTAGTTGCAACCACACCACCTGGGACAGTCGCGTCCTAGAGGGTTCTTGCCTTTGCGCCGCTGGTTGGAACCACACCGCCTGGGACAGTCGCGTCCTAGAGGGCTCTTGCCTTTGCGCCACTAGTTGCAACCACACCACCTGGGACAGTCGCGTTCTAGAGGGTTCTTGCCTTTGCGCCGCTGGTTGGAACCACACCGCCTGGGACAGTCGCGTCCTAGAGGGCTCTTGCCTTTGCGCCACTAGTTGCAACCACACCACCTGGGACAGTCGCGTCCTAGAGGGTTCTTGCCTTTGCGCCGCTGGTTGGAACCACACCGCCTGGGACAGTCGCGTCCTAGAGGGCTCTTGCCCACGCGCACCGCTAGTTTCAAACCCGCCGCCGTTTCAACGCCGCCGCCGCCCTAAAGCCCGCCGCCCAACCACAAACATATTCAAAATACACGTTTGTTTTGCTTAAATTTGTTGTTTTTTTTATGTTGTTTTTATATTAATTGAATATTTGTATTAATTTTTAAGCAAAGCAAGTGTATTACAAAATGCAGCGCTATTATCGTTAAAATATAATTGTGTACCTCTGAATTTTAAATTCAAAACTATTACATTCCATAACATGGTACTTTTGACTATAAAATATTAATCAAATTTATATTATTTTCCGGCATTTGGTTCCAATAAAACGTGCTTTTACGCTGGCACGGCAATCCGACAACAACTGACAATATGGCTGTTTTGACTTGAACTTAGTCGCAAAAGGTAAAAATTCAAAACCAAAGTTTTGTAATTTTTTCCTATTTTAGGTTCGAAATCAACGGGTGTAGATTTTAAGACGATTTATGCAATAAAAACTATTTTCTTCTTTTTTTATTTATGGTAGTTTTCAATTTAAGCAGCGATTTGTAATTTATTGGTTTCCTCAAATAAGTTTTTCTTTAGAGCTTTCCCGTATTTTTTTGATTCAGCTAACTATTTATAAAACTATTGCTTGTGAACAAACATACTCACTAAAAATGGTAGTGAAAAGTTCACAACATTCTTGGTACTTTAAACCTTTATTATATTCAAAGTAAATCATAGCGTGGAAATCACTGTAGCGAATTCCTGCCAGATTCTCGAAAATAAAAGCATTTTCCACATATTTCTAAATAAAAATGGTACTGAAAATACTAAATATTCAGTTTTAAAATGTATCAGTTACTGCATAATATTTTTATCACATATATTCAGAATTTACGATAATGTGCAATTTGCCAATGTTAAACAGATGAGTACAGAATATCTAAGTAAAGTGTATCTAACTTCTTTTGGTATGCTCCTTGTTAATGCATTATATACAATACTTCAACTAATACTTACATATGTTTGCTCCTTCGTTGTTGTCAGGTATTACGCAGAACAGATTTTATTCGAGTAATGTGTGGGAATCCAGCAAAACTTAAAGAGATACGTCAGAAAATTGAATTTCGGCTTACAAGCTCAAAAGATAGACAGGTAACCGATTATTCCACAGATATGATTTCACTAAATAAGATATATCTATTGTTACTTACTTTACTTACTTTTATTGATTGGTTTACTTTCACGGCCGTATGATCAATTTGCGTTTAAACTGCAGCCGAAATACAGGAATCGTAAATATTTGCGCGGAACACAATCTACAAGGCAAATGCAAGTGTAACTAGCTCATGTTTTTTATTTTCATTTTATTTAATATTACATTGAAAAAAAAAGAATTAAAGTTCTACTACAATTATTTTTTTAATTATCAGTAAGTCAGTATATTCAACTTTTGTTGATAATTTAGTGATAGTCTATACATTTTATACATTACCTACCGTTACATTATATGAACTGTTATACAATGATATTTTAACCAAGGTTTAAAGTTTTTTTTATATAATAAAATGATTCCTTAAGTTTCCCTGAATACAAAAAACTACACATAAAATAAATCATCATTACACCAGATTTAACAGGCCACAAATTCTATCAAATAAACCAATACTTACCTAGGATGACTCGCGATCATATTTAAATAAAAATATAACTTTAATTTTAAAGAAAAGATGCCTGAGTGCTAGGCCTCTGCGTAATTACAGGCCATCTATTATTATTATGAAGGTAATTATTAAAAGCTAAAGGTAGCTTAAGACATCAGGGAATTAAATAGTTCAGTCCCGAACCATGACGACCGCACTGAAAAATCGAGAATATAGAAATAAGTAAATGAATCGCGAAAAATACCGTTAATTTTTCATAAATCAATTTCATTCTATTCAGTATTTTATACGTGGTAGAGTCATGCTGAAGGTATATTATGATTGTAGCACGAATGGGTCGGCTCTACCGGGAAGGACCACGCTCTCACAGTCCTCTGTAAAATAGCAGCTTAATATTGCTGTGTTTCGTATGGTGAGTGTAGAGATCCGGAGACTCTTTTACTGGAAATGAGGCATTCCATCTTAGTCCTCAAGGATAACAACGCATCTTGGTTGTAATTCTTAATCGAGGATAAATGTAGATGTCTATGGGTCACAGCATTCACTTACTATCAGGTGGACTGTGTGCTCGTTTGTCGCCCTTATTCTATAAAAAATATATAATTTCTTGTCAGTATCGGTTGAGACGATAAACGCAAATTGAAACAAGAGACGAACAGTATGTTTCTGATGACAATTCAAAACTATAGAAAACTGTGATTGCCAAACCGCGTGGCAACTTTTTTTTATAGGATAGTGTGACAAACGAGTACACAGTCCACCTGATGGTAAGTGGTTGCTGTGGCCCATAGACATCTACATCTATCCTCGATTACGAATCAAAATGCAGATGCGTTGTCATCCGTGAGGACTAAGATGCCTCGTTTCCAGTAAAAAGAGACTCCGGTTCTCTACACTCACCGTACGAAACACAGCAGCATTAAGCTACTATTTCACGCTAGTATTCTGTGAGAGCGTGGCCCGTCAAGAATGCAGACTATGTCTAATATAACTGCAGCATGGTTCTACCACATACAAAAACTATGACAAAATCTTGCCTATGAGCAATTTATGGAGGTTTTCTATGCTCAGAAGTGGGCTCTGCATACTATATTTATAACGGATGGAAAGATTATTTATTAAACTTCAAATAAAATTGAAACGGAAATTATCGATTTCTAGGAAGCAATAATAAAATATGATAAAAATGATTCAAGACTGATTCGGAAAAGGTACAGACCAATGAAAGTATTCAAAGAGCATTTAGCTGGATTCGAAGAAGAAGATTCGACCTTTGCGGACGATTCTCATTTATACTATAGAGGTAAATAAAAGAAAAAAATATTAGTTATTTGTTTCAATTAATTACAAATTGTGTATCAATATGTCATCTATTTCAGATGAAAATAACGTTCGCCATAGAAAATTTACGACGGCATTTTTAGAACTTTATCAAATGACTGAAAACGTAACAACAATGGATGAACCTTATATTTGCTTAAACTCAAATTTCCCGTGGATTCTTGAGCCAAATACTAATTTTGTTCGTATCTTAACCATGTATCAACATAATTTTTTGTATTTTTTCCTTTACATATTGTCTTGATTATTTACGAGTACAATATTTATTATCACTAAAAAGTAAAAGTCATTACTGGCAAAACAAACTGGTTGTATTAGCTTGTTTTCTTAATCTCCCGAACGAGGTCCAGTTAATTAGAAAGTTTGTAAACTGTAATGATGATAGGTCTATGTAGCTCGGAGAACCGACAACCGATAGACAAGAAAGGTTCTCGAGTGGCAGCTTCGTACCAGTGGAAAAGTGTAGGGCGGCCCTCCACTAGATGGAGTAGCGACCTGGTAAGACATGTTGGAAGTCGTGGACGCAAGTGGCTCATGACCGTGCATTCCTTGGGGAAGGCCTGTGTTCAGCAGTGGACTTGTGAAGGGCTGTAATAATGATGATGACGAAAATGTAAAAGCGGCGACGACTAGTCGCGGATACTTTCTTAAATCCGTTAGAAGATAAATTATTATTTTAACAAAATGTTTTAAAACATTTCAGACGCATATGTTTGATATGGCACATTTCATCTTAATATTATACATATGTATTATGACTCCATATATAGCTATTCAAAACACACAAAGTGACTGGGAGAAGGCTATGAACACGATTGTTGTTACTGGACTGTTATTAAATATTTACATACAACTTACAACAGCTGTCATTGAAAAGGTTTAACTTTAAAATTATGAAATATTAACTTAAGACCGATTTACACTTCCACAAGTACAGTAGCGAGTTTAGTTACAGGACAGTTGACAGTAAATGGTTAAGAGGGCAGTAGCGTTCAAACAATGTCTTCATGGCGAGTGTAGTTAAGGACATTAGTTCATAGAGTTCGTTGGAGTATGACGTTTCAATACCACAGAATTTTTCTAGTTTTCGTTTAAGATGGTTCTAGGATTACGTCAAGAATTAAATGATCCAGTCAGAGAAGTTTTAATGGTTGTTGTTAAAGAAGTTTTTAAGAATTTTCATGAGTGCAGCATTTCGAGCAGATTTAATTTTACAATTTGAACTTCTACTATTATATAAATGTAGAAGTTCAAATTTTGTGTTTATATAAACATTCGCTTTCTAAATAGTCCTGTACAAGTTTATACGTGATATCTTCCATCCATTTTATTATTAAAACTCAATATAAATGGCATAAATATTCAATAAACATTATCGTACAAACTTTGTGGCGTGTTCAATTACAAAAGTACAATTGTACGTTTTGGCGCGCAAACTTATGCACTGAACTAAACTCGCTCGTTTACACGAACGGCGAGTTTAGTTGCGGGTGGCGGAAGACGCGCGGGAGTGCAGCACTTCGCACTTAACTCGCCGAAAAATAGCTCGGCCGGCTATCCCGTTCAACTTAATCGTTAACTTGCTACTTAACTCGCTTATTGCCATTCAAACGAGGTTCAAACTTAACTCGCCAGGTTTGCAAGTTAACTCGCTACTGTACTTGCCGAAGTGTAAATCGGTCTTTACCGAAAATATATGTTTATTAATATGTTTATTTTTACGTGGTAGAGCCATGCTACAGCTATATTAGTAGTATAGTTGTAGTACAAATCGGACAGAATACCAGTGTAAAATAGCAGCTCAACTCTGCTGTGTTTCATATGGTGAGTGTAGAGAACCGGAGACTCATTTTACTAGTCTTCCCAATCACGTATTCCATCTTAATCAGGTGGACTGTGTACTCGTTTGTCATCCCAATCCTATAAAAAATGTATACAAAGTACATGTCTTGCGTTAGACTGTATCTCTATGTAAGAGCTTACGGTGCGTTTTGTCTTGTAGGGAACCTCAAATAGCCATAATATATAGAGAGCAACACGGGCCTCCAGTTGGCCACAGGGGAGTACCCATAGATTTTTTTCCCGATACAGAAATGTCTGTCATTTTTTTCGGGGGGAAATGTCGTCTGTCACAACGAAACCATAGTAAAACAATAGTAGGATAACTGCGGCGCCGCGCGAGTCTTAAATGCCTACTGTTGCAGAGTTATCACTGTCTTTTTGTTAACAGCTGTCTCATTTAGTTGTATAAGTAGTTATAATATTTACAAACATAATACTTACGGATACGTACCTATGCGTCATATTTGTTAATTATTTCTTTAATTTCCTCTCAAACAATAAATGTTTGTCAAAAAAACTTTACATTACAACAAATACCATATAATTAAAATACGAGGGAATTAACACTGACCGTATGGTGTCAGTACAGATTTAATGTTTAAAATTAATTTGATCTGATGTGATATGATAATTAATGTACTTATGAGTTACGTATATACGTATACTCGTAGATATAGTAATACAACCTATTAATAAAATGCTAATTTACCTAAACAAATGCATATAGTAATTTATTTTACAAAAAGAGAAGACAGAAAAATGAAACAAACAAAGACTGCTAGCAAAATTTTATTAAAAGTCAACAAAGCCTCGAACAAAGGTGATTCCGGAGCGCGGCGGTGGACGTCACCGACTCGGCCGATCTTCCCGACTTTGCATCTTAGCAAGCGTTGTGTGCGTACTGCAGCTCGTGCGTACGAGTCTGTACTGTCACGTGCTAGGCACGTACTTATATTAGCTGCGTTTGGTACATTTCTTAAAAGATAGCCTACTATTCTGTTTTTACTATGACGAAACTCACATATAACAAATAAAACAATGTACTAACAATTTCACACTCACATAGATTATAACATTATCGCTTGGTGACAGCAACAACCCGGATAAAGACTCGGATCAGTTGCTTGACCGATCTGCATAATATATTAGCTGCGTTTGGTACATTTCTTAAAATATAGCCTACTATTCTGTTTTTACTATGACGAAACTCACATATAATAAATAAAACAATGTACTAACAATTTCACACTCACATAGATTATAACATTATCGCTTGGTGACAGCAACAACCTGGATAAAGACTCGGATCAGTTGCTTGACCAATCTGCATAATATATGAGCTGCGTTTGGTACATTTCTTAAAAGATAGCCTACTATTCTGTTTTTACTAATGAGGAAACTCACATATAACAAATAAAACAATGTACTAACAATTTCACACTCACATAGATTATAACATTATCGCTTGGTGACAGCAACAACCCGGATAAAGACTCGGATCAGTTGCTTGACCGATCTGCATAATATTGTATGAATGCGAACGGCCTGTGTTGATAAGCAAATCTGAAACAACACGTCCGTTATTATTAGAATTTTTAAATTTAATTACAATATAAAGGGAAATCTATATCGATAACCTTAAAAAGAAGTAAATTGCAATTATGTGATTAAAAATTACTTATGTATACAACGCCATTTTTTGCAAATTTACAGCAAAATACTGAAAAATTCGACATTTTTGTAGGACGTCAATTCAGTTACCCTGCAGAGCAGTGGCTGCATGTAATTTTACAGAGGGGAACGCCTGCGTGTGGCGGCTCCCCTCCGGTCCGCCGGTGACCCCTGTTGCTCTATGACCATAATATTATATGAACATTTATTCGATTTCGCTTGTGAATGAATAATGCAACCTGCATTATTCATTCACAACCGATTTCATAAAAAGGAAGAGGAACTCAATTCGACTGTTCATTTCAATTTCAATTCAAACTTCTATGTTTTTTTTATATGTGTTACGTCAGAACTTTTTTAGGTGACTATCTTTTTTATTTGGAAGCTGATGCTTCTTATGTAGTCTCGTATAAATTTAATCAAGATCTGATCTGTAGTTTTTAAGTTATCCTTAATAATGCGTATTTAATTGACTTCGACTATATTGATGATGATCTCTTTTTATTCATATTGAATTTGGTTGTACAATTTTTATTTTACCACTTGTTACCGGATATTATCACAAACTATATAATCATATTTATGTCATTACATTACAGTACTCTATAAAGAAAACTGTGAAAGAAATAGCCGAGGTTAAAATGGCTAATCTGGGATTCTATTTAGATATTTTATCAATCTTTCCTGTTCATATTTTTACGGACACTATGGATCTTAAAGGGGATTCAATATTGAGTCAGCTAGTCCTGATGCTTCCCATGCTTCAGGCTTGGCACATTTGGGATTATTTTGCAAAATGGGAGAGAAATATCAATATGAATTTTAAGGTGTGTGTGCATTTAAATATTCTACTTCCTATAAGACACAATAGTAATGTTACTATTTAGGAATCACTATTGAAAAACCCTACACGACTGTTTATTTGCACTATCGTGCTTTGAGGGTCCAATCATATATTTCTGCTGGCGTTAACATTTTACATGAAGCAATCGCCATCCAATATCCTGTCCAATACCCGAACATGCTTGTCCCTGTGTACCTACTCGTACAAAGAATCTTTCACTTAATATTGAGCCGAGGGTATTTTACGAATCGTTTGAAGGAAATTCTCAAACAATATAGATTCTACCCACGGAAAGCATCAATGATAAAACGACAATAACTAACGTCTTCAAACATACTAAAACAAGTAATACTTCAATCACCAACTTATGTTTCAATTGTGCGTACGTGAAACGGATATAGAAAGCCATTATAATAACATAAGAGGCCTATCTTAGCTTTACTTTACTTTACTTACTTTACTTATCTTCACGCACAATCCCTAACGGGGTAGCCAGAGAGAACAGATCGCCAAGTGTCACGATCCTTACATACCTCTTTCGCTTCTTTCAGGTTCACTATCACCTTCATACATGCACGTCTAGGTATCCGAGTACTCTTGACCTTCCCCTCTTCGAGTAATTTGCTCACATGGTCTTCGAAAGTTAGTCTCGGTCTACCTCTAGCTAAGGGTCCATATTAGTTAAGGGTCCATCTTAGCTAAGGGTTCATCATCACAGAAGTGACAACGAATCTGTATCAGGTGGACTGTTAGTTTGTTTGACAGTTCAGTTTTATTTAAAAAATATAATATTTGTTGGTAGTGCCAAAAAATCACAAAAACTTAACCCATTACGTAGTACTGTTGTAATGGCAGAACGAGGTCTACGAGCCAGCTAGTCTACTATATAACATCAAAATATAATGTACTTCTACATAGTACATAATATCTACATAATATCTCAGTGTTGTATAAGGAGCCCATTATTTATGACATTTTGGGGGGAGGTCTCTGTTTAGCTGTGGAGCTGTGATAGGCTGTGATGATAATGATGATGATGAAGATGATGGTGATGATAGAAGAGGCCCATGACTTATCTAAAAGGGAAAGAAGGAGGAATGCTACTTAATGAGGTATTAATTATGTATGGGAGTAGGTAGATAACTATTCTGTTGCCGCTTGGATGGCTTGAATTTTATTATAATTAAAATGTATATACGGTTCTTCAGATCTCAAATAGTTATTATATTTATATGTAAATTTAAGGGATCGTTCATAAGGTAAACACAAATCATGAAATTTAAGACTTCCTACTTCCAAATTAATAACAAATATAACGAAATGTTTCATATCTATTAACTTTATTCACAGTTCTTATGTTTACTGAAGTATTGCCTGCACTTTACAATTTTCTGTTACTGGTCGGGATGTCTTCTTTACCTCCTTGCCTGTCCAAAGCAATTGTGCTTAAAGGTCAGTAAGTATTTATATGATCGATTTTAACTGATTAAACACAATCAGACCAGAATATTATATAAGTTTCTCATGTTTTTTAGAAATCATGGATGTCTCATTTAATATATTGGGAAACAAAAGTATTTGTAACCAGTGATGCGAAACATGAAAAACCAATGGCGACCTCACTTGCTTTTGGTACGTCAATTTTTACTGGCAGCGGCATGTCGGATTTGGCACCGGGAGTTAACGACGTAATTTTGGTATGTGGTTTTAAATATCACATTCGAAATATATTGCTTGCACAGTTTATCCCTTGTGTGAAAAATGCAAATAACAGATCCTAATATTTCCACTTCATAAAATTAGGAAGGCCAATAGTGTTACCTCATCAAGATGGTAACGTTTAGCGCAAGGAACGATATAAGCTATAATTTTTACGTGATGTTCGATATCAAAATATTATTTTTTTACTTTAGAAAAGCTAAACAACAAAAAATTCTACACAAGACGAGTTAGTTACATACATCAAAAGAAGTTTATAATCACTAACAAAAGCTGATATATTTTTAAAATTTAACTTTATCAAGAACAAGTGTCTACGTTATACCTATTACTATACGTGCAATTTTTAAATGGAAATACACTGTTTAAAATTAAAAAAAACTCTTTTTTATTTTTTAATAACAAAAATTGAGTAATTCAACCTTAATGTTATCGTACAAGTAATTTGATGGAAATAAAAAGATTTTTTAACCAACTTATACAATTTTTTTAATAGAACGTTTTTATCTAATATATTATAAACTCCTTGCTGGCTCGAACACATGCGGATATCTTCCTGGGCATGCTGAGGATCAAGTTATCCAAAATTTTTTGCGAACATCTGTCCTATTCTTGAATAGCGGCTTCCCTAATCTCTAGCATTGTCTGGGGAGGTGACTTTTGGTTCCAAACAGCTCGTTTAAGGGCATTCCACGCGTGCTCAATTGGGTTTAAGTTAATCGAGCTGCCAGGCCAGTCTAACTTTGTGATGTCGTATTCTCGGGGAGTAGCATTGACTCGTTGAGCTCAATGTGCGGACGCATTATCATCGACCAGTACGAATTGATGCCCATGGCTTACTGAGAAAAGTCTGACAATTCAATCAATAGTGACTGTTTTGTACCTATCTGCCGTCATGGAGCTTCGATATAGGATTAAAGGCGTTCTAGCTCCAATCATTATTCCACCCCAAAAGGACACAGATTTCCTGCCTTGCTGAACGGTTCCAGTGACAGTTATTTGTCTTTCGATGTCTCCGGGTCTTCTCCAGACCCGAACACATCAGTTATCTGGATGAGTACTGATTTGCGATTCGTCAACGAAGAGACTGTTTTGTTAAATGTTTTCCTCCTTATCTTCTTCATTTTTCCGGAGCCTAGCCCACTGCAATCTCAGTTGCTGAAGTTGCCGTGAATTCGGAGGTGCTCATCAAGATTTCTTTGCTTGTAGTCTAGCCTGGTGTAAGCAATTCCGAATGGTCTGAGTGCTAACTGCAAGTACAGAGGCAGCCCGCACTTCTGTTTTTATTGTAGTGGCATTGATTGTTGAGTCACGACTGCCAACAATCTGACATAGTGCTTCTGAGCATCATTTAGAACAGTTGGGTGACTACTGCGGATTCAGTCAGCGAAATTATCCATGCCGTGGTACCTCTACAACGTGGCCACGACACAGGATTGGGATACAGCAACTCTGCGTGCTATTTCTCTCGTGAAATATCCTTCTTCCCTCAAAATTACAATTCTTGCTCGTAAAACTTCTGATAATCCTCTTGGAACTTGTTCAGTTACAAATTTTCTCAAAAAGTATTTTAAATCCGTTAAAATTTACTAAGACAAATTTCTGTACGAGCGAAAGCTTGGATTTAATTTCTTTTTAAATGAAAAAGAATCGGATTTGTTTTATTGCTTTATATTCTAATAATAATATTTTAGTAAGGAATCTAAAAATAAGAAGGATATAATAATTCTTAAATGAAATAGTCTACCGTAACAAAAAAGATTTCGATTTTTCAAACTGATCGCAAATTTTTTTTGATGTGTCCATATCTTATACTAATACTAGCTGACTTGAACATGAATATCTCTTTAGAATTAAACTCCTTTCTTTGTAATTTTCTTTAACATATTTTATAGACAAAATTGATGACAAAAATGTTTTTTGTAACCTACTTAAAATAATTAACTTACCTAAGCATGACCTGTGGCATAGCATAATTGCTTTCACATTTTTTTCGAAAAGATTTGAAAAAACTAAAAAATATTAAGTAAGTTATAACAACTTTACCAAATACCAATACAATTTTAATCTTAAGGCAACCGCCAAGAAATTGTATATCTATTTGAAGAAGTCGAAACCAACACATACAAAAAAGTAATGGAAAGCAACATTACCAGTGTGATGTCAGTTCTGCGAACGCCAATCTACCTACAAAGCCCGCACGGAACATGTATAACATGTATGGGCTGCAAGTAATGTTTCGGGGTCTGGATGTTTGTCCTTGTGAAATTTATGATTGTAAACTACCTCCGCGATACAGAAAAAAAACCTAGTATGGAGGTAACGTATATCAAAAAGAAAAAAAGAAAGCATGATAAGTATGAACAAAAGTTTCAAGTTAGGCATTTCAGTTAACGCATTCATAATAAGATTAGCTGTGGATTAAGGAAAGCTATTAAAAAAAGAAAAATTAATTTTATACTTCAAAATTGTACATAATTTTTTAATTATGTTTCAGGTATTCTTTATATTTAGCGCTGGATCATACTTGGGTTTCTTTTGTGTGGCCAAAATATGTAGCATTTATCTACTGCTGACACAAAGAAAATTAAAATTCAAGGTTAGTGGAATTATTTTATCACAAAAATATTTTAACTTAAATGTTAATGTCACCTCATCTACACATATTGCATTATGTAAGATAACCTCTATGCTCCAGCGGCGGTCACATGGCCATATATCCTTGTAAAAGATTTCAACCGGAATAGACCGTCTATTCCGGTGTGATGTTAAAAACTTTATTTGGGTAGGTCGTACAACAGGTCTTACGTCACTAAATTATATAATAATACAAAAATAAGGGAAATTTGAAACTGCTATCAAATTCCCTCCCAACAAATGTGCACCTCACAAATATCCGAGTTCTGAACTGTAATTGCAACTCATTCCACCTTGAAACCAAGATCTCATTGCAGCACACACCGGCTGTTTTAGGTACACATGAAAAAACTTCCACCAGTATGCAGGAGTCTTTGTATACGTCCGCTGATCGCCTGTATTGTCTTCGTTAGATGGAGAGAAATCACTTTCTCTACAAGTTGGATAAACGTAGATACGCGAATCGATAATATTATTTATTCCCGCAGCAGCAGTGAGACTGCTGATGTGACCCTAAGTGACCCTTGCGCAGCTGGTTTTTGTGGAGAAGTTAAAACGCTTATCACCAGGTCTGACTGCTCCCATACCAAAGAACTGACGATGTTGGCAGAACTTTATTAATTATTATAAGTGACATATAATGATTATCCGAAGCCAATATGATCATAAACAAGTATGAATCTTTATAAAGTCGAAGAACAATTTCGAAGAAAATGTTATGCACTAGAAAGAACGAGCACTATAAAATTTTAAGCCATCCATATTAATTAAATACTCAGTTGGACGTGTCTATATACAAAATATGCAAACTTATTTTTTACATAACATTAACTTATTGTTACAAATTAATACTACGGTTTGTCATGGTTTAATTCCCTACATTGTTTGTACTTGGGGAGGAAAACATTAGAAACTTATGATTGAATTGGAATGTGCACAGAAGAGTTTGTTAAAGGTTATTATGTGTTTGACCCAATAGGCATCCTACCTCATCACTGTTTGAAGAGTTTAAGAGTTTAATAAATATTATGTGTACTTAAGACTTATTTATCTTATCATATACAGAAAAAAGTAACTATCACATTCCTATTTTAGAACGTCCTTTTCAAGATAATTTTATGAATTTCTGGTCATATACTTGGTAACAAAAAATTGTATTAAACAAAAAATAGTGTAAGAAAATTTTACAATAATCAAACAAAATGTAAAACACAAAGTGGCTAAATGAATACGATTATGAAAGCTGCGAAAATCTATTGAACATTGCATCAATTATCATCTTTTAACTCTCAGAATAATTTATACTTAGTTATATACAGACATAAACACGTACATACATCCACATATTATGTTTCATATTAATTAGTAATTATTAGATATCATTTTTTCAATTTTTTCAACGATTGGAAGTTAATTGCATAAAACATTGTAAAATGTAATTATAATAAATTTGAATAAGTTTAGATTTTAGCTTCTGTTACTGAATATCTAGGGCTCAATCAGGACAAGATAATACGTATTATTTTTATTTGTATCTAATAAAATATTATTATTATTATAACACATTTCAAAACTAAAATTATCACTGAAAAATAATTAAGGAATACGTTCTTGTTAGAAACAGTATATTAAATGGTTATTTTTTTTATAAAATATATTATGACAAGAGCTGTAAAATGTCATTACCTTAACATTTCACAGGAATCAATGAGAGAGCTGTTTTATTTTTTATCAGTTAATCATGTCAGTGGCAAAATAAAGGCTCGGGTAAAGAAATATTTCTGCGTGCAATGGTGAGATTTGTTATATGCATAAATTATATCAAAATAAAAATTGTTTAATAAATATAAAGGATCAAATAAAGTGCTACTATATAAAATATTTGAGAGAATTTATGGAACTTAAAAAAACAAACTGCATATTTACTGGCTGGTAAGAGTAAGTGTTACCTTGTAGTGGTATTATAAGAATATATCTCATCGGTGTCCTAAGAGACGACAATGACATTCAAACCGTGAGATTACTAGTAGCGCCGTCCTTATAGCAAATATGGAGGGTATTGATATGGGTCAATCTGTGAGGAAAGCCAGTTTAGCTGTGTACTTTTGTTATACTTGTAACGGTAACTAAGGGTAACGGTAAGAGTTAGTTAGGGTTGCCACAAGCTTGGAGCGCTGAATATTATTGCTGGTGGTAGTAGTATTTGGAAATTCATAATTTTATACTTGCGGTACTTACACCCGTGAGTGGCAACACCGAACCGTCAATTTACCGTACCGTACTTCGATATAACATTCTTAAAAACACTTTAATTGAACTAACGTATCTACTCATAATTTTTTGAATAATGATTTCATGAACCTATATAGGAAGTTTATAACATTACCGTTACACACATGTGTCATCGAGCTGCATTTCGTTCAGTCATTCCACGCCATAGCTAATACTGATTACAGATGCAGCATAGTTCTTCCTCGTCATAAGTTTTTAATAAATAAAACCAGATAGTATTTAGTTGTAGCTTACAACTTCATGGTAATTTAAAAATGTTGTTTAAATGAATCAGGTATTATAACAATGCAGTGTCAGCAGAGGAAATTTTTCAAGATATGTCTCCAAATCTACAACAAGAAGTTTTGTCTATTGAAATGGTTGAAACGTTGCTATATTGCCCTATATTCAAAGTAATTTTTTGGTTTTAGTATTCAAGCATACATTTAAACTTTTAAAAATATCTATAACTTAAACACTAAAACTATACCACGAAATTTTTCCTAGGAATCCAGTCATGATTTTCTGCAAACTGTGGCAGCAAAAGTTAAAACTTTAGTTTTGCCTGGTAATGAGATTGTACAACATGCCGGAGATATTGGAAGAGATATGTATATCTTGCAAAAAGTTAGTAAATATATACAATACAAGCAATTTTAAAATTATAAAGTTAACTAAATTCATCCACTATAACTGCGGCCACTATCTCTGATTTAATAATAAAAATTCGAAACTGTGTTTAAATTTTCCTTCTTTCAAGCAGCAACAAAGCAACAAAATTACATAATTTTTATATACATTTCATAGAGATAGTGTGCGAGTTTCCGATAATATACTCCATTAAATCTAAAAAATTCCTTGTGTTCTACTGTGTTCCTGGCCAAAAAATTACATCTGACTTGCAACACGCGTGCCTACGCAAGTAAGCTCGGAACAGTAACAAATCGGAGAGGGTATATTGAAAATGAATGCAAATGGAAAAAATAGTTTTCACATGTATTTTGCCATCCAATAGTGACAGTAGACGAACTTTATAGCACACGTTTTCCCAAATTTAATAAATAGTATTCATATGAAGAATGAGCGGTTATTTCATGAACATTTCATGAACTGTATGTATACTATATATTTTACTACTATATATTTGACTGCCTCATTGGTCTAGTGGTTGTAGTAATGCGACTGCTGATCATAAGATCCTGGGTTCGAATCCCGGGTCGGGCCAAAAAATTAATTATTGAGTTTTTCCGTCAAGAAATTCTCAGTAGTTGCCCGGAGTCAGGAAGTTGGTGATGTCCCATCCCCGTGCCTCGGAAAGCACGTAAAGCTGTTGGTCCTGCGCCTGATCTCTCTCCGGTCGTGTCGGTTTACCATCCCATCGGATTATGAGAGTGAGGGAATAGAGAGTGCACCTGTGCTTGCGCATACACTTAGCACTATAATCCTTTCCTGCGCCGATGGCTAGCCTCCGTTGAGGCAGGTCACCGTGGCCGAAATTGAGAATGGAGGACATTATTATATATTTTACATTAATAAACGTTGCGATTGTTCATTGCGCATATTTCAATTAAAAATATGAGTTTACCAGGAAGTTAAATTTGAAATATATTTGACTCTCTTTTAAGGATTCATATTTTGTTTTATTTTTGAATTTACTCATTATTCAACTATCTGGCTTTAGGGTCAATGTACTTTGATAAATTACAAAGGGACAATAATCAGAAATAACGGACCGGGTAATAGCTTTGGCGTTTTCGAGATGTTGTATGGATTACCAAAGGTACGAATTTTGAACATTTGATCAAGTAAAACATTTTGTTCATTAAATATCGTATGTATTGTTATGTATTTTTCATCAGCCTATAACAGACTGCTAAACATAAGCCTCCCCCGCTGTAGGCAGTAAGAAGGTTTTGACATGCTTAGCAGGTGTATTGACTAGCACCTTTGACGTCACCGGGCTAGATATTTCATATCTGTTTACAACAATATAGTATAATACTAGTTTGATAAAAATTCGAAGTAAAAAAATATTTTCAAAAATATTGCTGAACATCGTAAGCATTAGCTTTTTACTTTTAAACAACATGTATCAAAATATGTAATGTAGTAGTTTAAGATCCTTGGCAACCCTTGATCGTTATTAGTAACATTGGTGATTAATATAACATTTAATTGACAATTTTTTTTAAAAGAATGAGTAGATTCGATTTCAGAATAATTTTTCTTATCTATATCTCTACTATACCTATAACTAGGTGGTAGGATTACTTTACTTCGAGTGATAATGTATATTAAAATATTTTAATTATTATTTTAATTTTTTAATATTATTATAATTAAATATAAGTTTTCTTTATTATTTTTTTTTTCATAATAGTAAAGATGACAATCGAGCACACAGACTACCTAGCAGAATTTGGCTGCTGTGGTCCGTAGACAGCAATGAAGATGCTTTGTCAATGTGTGCAGCAGTACGCAGGGTTGACAAAGCACTGTTACAAGTTACAAGTCAAAAGGATCTACGGTTTTTGTCACTCACCATGCGAAATACAGCAGCATTATTTTATTAAATTCTGTATTTATTGTAACTATATTTTATGTAAACTAACCGTAGTAGCTCAAAGGCTAAGCGCTTACTGTAAATTTGACAGTACGCGAGCAATTTGGGTTTGATCTCCGCCGGCACCAATGAAATTGTTAATTGTAATTTTAAGTGCTAATTTACCACGCGCTCGGCGGTGAAGGAAAACATCATGAGGGAACCTTCATTTCTGAGAAATAAGAAACAAATATTTCAAAGACATGTGAAGTTAGCCAACAAGCATTGGAGCAGTTCGGCGAACATTTCCTTGCCCTAAAACCGTCTTAGAAATGAGAGAAGGCCTGTGCCCAGCAGTAGAACGTATATAGGCTGCAAAATTAACTTTAACTTTCTTATACAAAAGTAACCTGTAAATGTAATTTATAATGATGTCATTACTAATGTAACATCAGTGGATTGATTTTAGGTACATACAATCATAACGTCAACCAACTGCATCTTATTACATCTCGACTATCAAACGTTGGTTCAGTGCTGGAGTATATTTCCGGATATTAGCCAGACCATTACAACGGTATGATTTTTGAAAGTCTTCATTCGATAATATTTATTTTTAAATCAACAAGACGCTAAGGAAGGTTTTACTCATCTAATTGTAGATGAAATGAGATGAGATGAGATTCTAGAACGCCGACGTTGTTGACGTACCTACGAGTATTATCTGCCGATTTAGATACCATGTCGCGACTCCTGTTTATATTCTTCGAATAACCTCAATGATTTGGCTACGTTTTCTAAATAATTTTGCAGGTTCTACATGATTCTGATATTTGCGAGCAAGCAACTAACTTTCAAGATGCAAAGCCTCTTATTGGTAGAGTTAAAGAGAAAACAAACAGAATAGCGGTAAAATATTTGAATTCTTAAATTATTTCAATGGTGTATGTATTTTATTCAACAATAATTTTTTGTAGCAAGAAATTAAAGAAAGTTTTATTATTATAAACGATCCCGAAGAAAAAACACATTATTTAAAAGCATTTGAAAATTTGGGAGTTTTTCGGTAAATATACGAAATTTCCATTAAGTAGGTGGTACTAATATAGTACGTGAGGGTAATATGGTTATCCGGTTAATATGCTCACTTTCTCATAATTTAAAAACTAAAACCTTGTTGCATGAACTCTGTTATATGAAGCTCTTCGTAGTCAACCAAATATTAAAGGACCAAAAGGCATTGACTTATATATTACTAGCGTAAGGACCGGGCTGACCGTACAATAAAACGGACCGGTGCGCTGGCCCTAAAATTACAGTTTAGGGCCAACGCGAATCGGTCGAGAGTGGTGCGCGCGCAGGACAGATTTGCCTGTCATAAATATGTCTAGTTGCGTGGTAATAGAATGTAAAAATTATGATACAAATATTTAAAAAAAACGGGATATCGTATCATCGGCAAATAACCTTATATTAATTTTGTTACAATTAAATTATTACATAAACGCATTTTTAAAGTTTTTTTCATTTTAAAGTTAGTTTAGTTACGTTACCAAGATTAGGCCAGGGTTGGATTTAGACCCTCAAAAATATTGTACATGGAAAAGAAAATAATACTATTTAAAAAAATTATATCACGTTTGACGTTTTATATTTATTTTTCCCATGTGCCGGGATTTTGGCGTCACGCGTCTAGTTTATCTATACGTTTCGTTTTTTACGGTTTAATTTTTGTTTCTGTTTAATTTTTGTTTGAAGAACTTAGTGTAAGTTTAATTTTGAATATTGGTACCTAGCATATATTATATATTTAATAAGGGTTAAACGAAAAGAGTACAAAATAAACCATCTCTGCATAATTGAATCTGAAAATCTGGCTCATAAAATATTTTGAAATTTTTTCAAACCGATTGCTTCTAGAGTCGAATGTCAGCGCCTCATTACAGTTGTATGAAGGATGCAACATAAATGCATCGATCGGGCATCAATTGACCAGACAGGGAGCTCATTCTAATTGTATTTTAAAAAAACGCGGTACTCATGTACAATACAGAAATTCTCGATATCGTAAGGTTAATATTTAAATTTAAAAGAAGAACTTAGGATGTTTTTTGATTTCAATAGCCTCGCGAATCATCCTTGGAATCGATGTTCTTTAGCGAGGATTTGTGGTCCGTCAAATCTGATGTAGTGACGGGGGCCTCTATGTGACTACATCAAATCCTCGCTAAAGAACACCGATTCCTTCCAAGGATGATTCGCGAGGCTATTGAAATCTAAAAACATCCCAATTTGAATAGAGAAGATGGCTGGGTGCTACCATCTGCTTGGCATCCTATAATAAAGAAAATTAAATCCCAACCCAAGCATGCAACTGCAAGACTTCATGATACTATAAGTTCATACTGTGTAGATCGGAACAAAAGTTAAATTTTAATCTATGGTAACCGCGGTATATAACTTGACATCTGGACGTTGAACATCTCAGTCACCCCCGTGACCATGAGTGCTGTAAAGATCTCGAAACGTCGGGTATTTAAAAAGTTAAATATACGCGATAAAATCGGTAAAACTAGTATTATTTCAATAGTATCGTTAGTTTGTTTTGGGTTGATTTTTCGAAGTGTTCCAAATTATTGCCAGAGCTTGTTTGTTATTTTTTTCTTAATGTGTTGGTTATAGTATAGGACTTTGTGTTTTTGTATCTCTCTTCCTCCTAGTTTTGGTTTTATAGGGCGGCAAAGCCTAAGGTGACCATATTACCCTCACGGACCTTAGATCTAAGACAATCACACAGACCAAATTTTCTACAAACTGTTAGAAGTTAATTCATCTTTACTCATTTTTTGAGTTCTAATCTATAAGTACGGAGTAAAAATTTATAGTAAAGAGGCAACTATGAAAATACCAGAAAAATCTTATAGCTTCCGATAGATGGCGTTATAACCATCTACTTTACTCCATAACTAAAATAACTAGATCGAGTCTGACACTCCGATCGTCAATTTGCCTGTCAAGCGTGATCACTGAGGTGAATTCTTCATACGACGGAATAGGTTAATGAACGACACCATGGATTTTGCGAGTCGATAAAGAATTTTTTTATAGGATAGGGTGACAACCCAGCACACAGTCCACCTGATGGTAAATGGTTGCTGTGGCCCATAGAAATCTACATATATCCTCGATTACGAATCAAAATACAGATGCGTTGTCACCCGTGGGGACTAATATGGAATGCCTCGTTTCCAGTAAAAAGGGTCTCCGGTTCTCTAAATTCACCATACGAAACAGCAGTATTAAGCTAGCTAAGGTATTCTGTGAGAGCGTGATCCTTCCTCGGTCGAGCCGACCCATTCGTGCTACAACTATGCTACTAATATAACTGCAGCAGGGCTCTACCACGTAACTATGAAGAATGTATAAATATCGAACATTTCATATGATAGCGACGTACTATAAAACGTGCCTCTCATCTCAACGATGTCGTCAGTTAATGACTTGAGTAAAGTCTTTTCAAATCTCGTGAACTCGAATTTATGACCTAATTGAGATTTTGCATTTGTATCGGATAAAAAATTTATAAGTGAAAGTAGCGTTAATAGAATTGTACGAGATTATCATAAACGTATTAATTACCAATTTCATTTTGGAGATAAGATTTTTTTATTTAAAGTATTTTTATAGCTTTTGTGTATCAGTGTTGTGTTCAACAGTAGACTTTGATAGGCTGTGATGATAATGATGATATCATTTATGTATGTCTTAAGGGAATCTATAATCTTTGTTAACTAATGTCTTGATGTCTTAAGAACTAACTATGAGCGATTCCAAGAAAATCTCGCGGCGGACATATGGTGGTATATGATCTTGTTTAAGCTAGAGGTTTCATACGTGGTAAAGCCATGCTGCAGTTATATTAGTAGTATAGTTTTATCACAAATGGGTCGGCTCGACTGGAGAAGGACCACGCTCTCACAGTACACCAGCGTAAAATAGTAGCTTAATGCTGCTGTGTTTCGTATGATGAGTGTAAAGAACTGGAGACCCTTTTTACTGGAAATGAGGCATTCTTGTCTCACGTCCGCATTTGCATTTTGATTCGTAATCAAGGATAAATGTAGATGACTATGTGCCACAGCAACCACTTACTATCAGGTGGATTGTGTGCTCATTTGTCACCCTATTCTATAAAAAAAGAAAAAAAATGACGTTAAATAACCAAACCGGCGATGAACAGAAACAAAAATGCGAGCGTCGAGACTTGTATTTCGACCGTCAATCCACCCATCAAGCATGAGATTTTAGAAAATCCCTCCTTCAATATACAATGAGTGAGACTCATCCTCAGATGAATACTTTTACGGGGTAATGAAGAAAGAGAAACGCCTGTTTTATACAAAAAAATTCAAAGTAACTGACACACTAACCTTTATGCTTATTTTTAGACTGCAATGAGATTATACTAATCGATTTTGGAAGAACTAGGCATTAAATGTCAACACTCGGAATACTTGTGTAACTACGTTCATAAGTTCTTTTGGTACTTTGCACGCCATAGTTTTGTCTTTGAAAAAGTCAATAATAATACAAAAATTAGGGGCCAAAAGAAAACTTCCATAGAAAATCTTAAACTTCAATAGGTGGGCTGATCGCTAGGGACAGACTCAAAAAGAGAGTATTTGTATCCTCTTTAAACATGGCGTAACAATTACTATCCTCAGCATTGGGAAAACAACTAGATTGAGTATAATGAAATTCATTAAAAAAATTGTTATTTCAGATTCATTCGTTACTTCTTTTTGCCAGTATGTATTACCCCACACGGAATATTTTTGAAGTTCTGGTGTGCTATGCGATTAATAATGGCTGTTTACTATATTTTAATAGTGCCTTATAACTTCGCCGTAAGTTTCCTAACAAAATTAAAAGAAACAAAACTGTCGAAAAGAAATGCGTGAAATGAAATCCAAAATTTTTTTCAGACGAAACAATACAAACATCGACATACTTACAACTGGTCGGACATATTCTTATACGTTGATGTTATTATAATGGCTTATGTCGCATACTACGATAATCGTTCGTTGCTCGTCACTCATCCACTACTTACAGTTACACGATATATAAAACACGCATTTATATTGGACTTAATCAGCATATTTCCACTCGAACAATTGGTGAGAACAATTACCAGAAAGTACAAAAACATTACCAGATTTTGATTATGATTAATTTAATATGACATTTTATATAACAGGCTAATATAATTCATGAATACGGTGATACGGATATGTATAGGCTGAATCGCCTGCTCCTAGTAAGCTTAATAATTGACCTATTGCTCATAAGTTTTTAAGAAAGATTTATCGAATTCACTGCCTTTTAATTTTATTGTATATTCAGGTAACAAGAATATCAGGAGCTTTTTCGTACTGGGAAAATAACATAATGCAAATTAGTCAAGCTGTTGTTTTATTCAAATTCTTACCGCTTGCTATAACGCTGGTTAATTTCGCAACTGCTTTCATTTTCACCAATTCTTGTGAGCCATATATGCCTCATGCCTCTAATTACGTTTTAGTAAACTGTACCAGAAAAATTATAATATCTGGTAATAAATATGGAGTGACATGTAAGTAGACAAACTTACTTAAATGGTTTATTTATTTACTACTTTTGAGAATTTAAAAGATATGTACGTATTAAATTGTATTTCTAATTTCAATTTACCAATTATTATCGATAAAGAAATATTATGTCATCATAAGAAAGGAGACAATTGTTTATGGGCCCACTAGAAATATTAACGATCCTTAATGGTATTAAACATAAAGATACTAAATTATAATAGTAAATGGCCTATAGATTTTGTGCAAATTTAAATAAAATCAAGAAATCTGAAAAAAGATATAGTTGTTTTGATATTCGTGTTCTGGTTAATATGGGAAAAATGCGTGCAGTGAATAATTTTTCAGTTCGTATAAAAAGAAAAATAGTTTTTATAAATATTTTTTGATAACTAACTATATACAAATACTTAATTGTATATTACTTAGATAACACTAATTAGATACCACTGAGAACTTTATGTTTGATTCTATTTTTAAAAAAGGTGTTAGCTAATATATAACATGGTTCAAAATGACCGTGAACCAAAACGCCATTTTGTCATTGACTTCCGTGTGTGGGTAATTCCCAGCGGCCTTCGGACGGGTATTACTTTACGGCATTGACATTCGTCACGTTGCTATTTTTGTATTTATTTGCGATTTAAAGAAAATGGAATCTGCTAAATCAGCATACACCGAAATTAGTTGCGTTAATTGTGGTGTTAGGTTTCAACGCAGTGAGCGAAGACAATTACTAGCCGAGACAGCTGAAGATGTGCGCTAACTTTTATTTGTGTGGATTTCTCAGGAGGTGAGTATTTTATCTTATTGAAGGCTTTCTTTGCATTGCCTGTAGGAATAAAATCGGTAGTTTCAAATTATTTGGTAGCAAGAATATAATATTTTATAAACTCGTTTGTTTATCATTACATTGTGTAAGTTGCTAGACATAATTAGTAAAGTTTACATATAATATAAACAGTGTTCGTGTTAAAGTTTGAAAAAATTCCTACTACTTATTTGAAAAAGTTCTTATAACAAATATCTATTTTACGTAGTTTTTCTGCTTATAAGTGGGTAAAAACTGACGAGTAAAATTTTATGTAAGACTAAGTAAAGTCTGTAATTTATGTTGAATTACCCAAAACAAATGACAAACACAGGTCTTATTTATATATTAGATACATACATACATTACAGCAATTCACAAGTCCACTGCTGAACATATGCCTCCACAAGGAATGCCACGAAGCACGGTCCCGAGCCACCTGCGCCCATCGACTTCCTGCTTGTCTTACTAGGTCGTCACTCCATCTAGTGGGAATCCGTCGATTGACCTCTCGGTCGAAGTTGGACTTACCTAGTCGAACTATTTGTCCCAGGTAAACGTACTCGTCAACAACTTCGAGCTTAATGCTACCAACTACTACCGGCGTAGGTGTGACATGGACATTTAACGTGATCTTTATTTTGTCTACGTTCATCTTAAGACCTATCCGTTGGGAGACACTATTGAGGCCATTGAGCATAGTGCTTAGGTCCTCCAGCGATTCTGCCATGAGGACTATATCGTCGGCAAATCGAAGGTGAGTGATGTAATCGCCATTGATGTTAATACCGTATCCTTTCCAGTCTCTCTCAATCTTCCATCCAGCGGTGAAGAGTTTCGGGGATAAAGTCACCCTATCTTACACCTATCTGCAGTTAGATAGGTTTCGTACTCTGGTTCTGCACTCGGATAGCCATCGTATTTCTACTGTACAAACATTTCAGCACTTCGATATACAACTATATCGAAGTGCTGAAGTGTTTGTACATATATAGTCAACTTGGCACCGCTGAAGGGCTCAAGCTCCGCCCAAACTTCGACGGGATCAAAGGCTTTCTCATAGTCCACATTCGCCAGGCAAAGTGGCAGATTGTACTCTTCGGCCTTCTGTACAATTTGCCTCAGACTATGTATGTGGTCTATGGTACCGAAGTCTTTTCGAAAACCGGCTTGTTCGGGAGGCTGGAAGTCATCGAGTCTGCGTGCGAGATATATCGTGATGACTCTCAAAAACAGCACGTAGATGCGGCTCGGAAGGGAAATCGGTGTAAAGTCTTCAATATAGCTATTTTTTGCGCCTTTCTTGAAGAACAGACGACCGCACTTCTGCTCCACGCCAGTGGAGTAGTGCCACTATGGAGAGCGGAATTGCAGAGCTTCTGAAGGACTTTAAGTACCGGTGTTCCACCCGCTTTCAGAAGCTTCGCTGTAATTCCATTCTCGCCTAGGGCCTTGCCGTTTCAAGGTGCTAGAGAGTCATTCTAATCTCGCTCAGACTGACGTCCGGGATATCATCGGAATAGTGTCGGAAAAAACTTGCTCGTGGATCGTTACTCACACGTGCGTATGGCTCCAACGATGATGTGTACAGCTGCCCATAACATCTCAATCTCACTCAAAATCTCAGGTGTCACGGAAACTATGCTGCCACACTCAGTCTTCAGCTTTGACAGTTGGCTTTTTCTGACAGACAGATCTCTGGCAAAGACTTTGGAGCTTTGGTTCCGCTCGATCGCTTATTCAATACTAGCAGTATTAAAGTTGCGTAAGTCCAGCCGCACGTATTTGGATATCTGTCTGTTCAGTTGCCTGTATGTTGTCAAATCTTTTGAAGACTGCAACAGAAAGTGTGTTTATCAATATAATCGATATTTCTCTTTTGGGCTTCCAATATATTTTTGTAATTGAAAGTATATTATTTTTCAAATACTATATGGTTCCACATCAAATCTTCAACTTAACGCCTACCTTGCTTCCCTCTCCCCCCCCCCCCCCCCAATGTAAATTTTTCTGTATTTAATATTTCTTTACTTTTTTATTTTTTAAATGCATTCCTGATTTTTTTCGTAACACCCACTTGATGCAGTTTGTTGTAACAGCCTAAGAATATTGCAAGAAAGTATTGCATCTGCTCATTCCATTAGAAGATTTGGATACAAGAATATTTGTATTCCATGTGGATCTTCGATTTTAAGAGCATGCCATACACGAGCTGTGCCTATTAACTCTGCATAAAGAGATATTATTTTGTAGTGGACACCGTCTCACCAAGTACTTACTTTATTTTAAAAAGCTGTAAATGATCCCCTGCCTAAAACGTTTTGTATTGGTGCTGGCAGACGTCTACACGCATTAATATATTATTTTTAATAACTACCTACTAGCATAAAATTGGGAAAAATTGAGTATGATAATAACTAAGTACATATATCTTACTTTACACACACATTCTTATAATTATCAACATTTAATTAGCCATTCTAAATTGAATTACCTACAAGACAACAAACAAGTTTCATTAATCTACCGCGATGCGCGTGTACGGTACGTTAGACAATAGGTAGTGAGTGTGCACTTTTCATATACAGGCTGATTTCTATAGCAATTTATATACAGGCTGATTTTTTAGCAATTTCATGCTCATTCAACACGGCTGTTCACTATCAGATTATCTTTAACTTTACAGCCTATCAAATCAAAAGTCTATCTCTGAACATAGACCTGCCCACAGATTGCCATATGGGGTATATTGGCCATTAATAACCACAATTTTTATCTTTAGTTATTTTTAGATAGATGCTACTTCTTTCTTACCTTATACTCATATTTGTATGCCTCTTTACTTAATATATAAGTAATATTTTTTTATGTTTTTAAGAATTGGTGGTTAGTCAAATAATGTTATAATTCCAAAATAAATACTTCTTTACTTGTTTATCTATCTGATATGTGGTGTACTTTTTATTTATTTTTAAACAAGTGGAATCTGGTTTGCCACAAAAGTATTCTGAAGACAAACAATTGCATGCTAATATTTATAATTTTAAAAGGCATTAACACTATTTAGTGTCATGACGATTGAAATAAATAGAACATTAGTAAATATTGTTGTTATTTAGAGTAGACACTGTGAAACTATAGTCCGCTCGGTTAGTTGATTAAAAAAATACTTTTTTCAGGTGGATCATTTAGAACGAGTCTTCAATCCTTGCTGGCTGAGAGCTTCCAGAGCTGTATGGAGACAGAGACAACAAAATGGTAACAGGGATATGGAGTTACAGACCATGAATATTGAAGACATCGGTAACATCCCACAACCACCCCCTATATCTGCACCTATAACTCCTGCCATTTCCAAAGCGGTATCAACAGTTACTATGGCTAATTATAAGCGTGCTGCTTCTATTTCCCGTCACTGTATTTTAAGTTATGTAATCATTAGTATAGGACTTTTATATTCATTAATTTTTTAGGTGGATCGCTTAGAACAAAAATCTATATGCCTTGCAGGCTAAAAAGCTTACAGAGCTGCCCGTAGGTAGAAACAAAAATTGTATGGATATTAAAGACCAATATCATAAATGGGCATGTAATACTATCAAGTTGTTTTGAAAAAATCTTTTGATATGAAAACACAAAAAAAATTCTACCTATGTCCGTTATAGAGATTGAAACCATTCAACCGATTTTGATGATTTTTTAATGTGTGTTTGAATGGATCTCTAGATGATTCATAATCACATTTGTATTCGGTAGGTGGCGCTGTTGTCAAAATCCAGAAATCACCCGTGCGAAGCCGGGCGGATAGCTGGTAATAAATACATTTGCATCAGTCTTCAGCTTTGACAGTTTGTCAGTTCTTACCATCTTCAGCTTTGTCAGTTTTTACCATCAGTCCAGAATAATGTCCCTCTGCAAGATGCAGGAGTGTACAAGCTTGATTGTGCATGTGGTCTCTCTTACATATGACAAACTAAAAGATCAATTAAAACCCGCGTTAAAGAAAATATATCTGATGTGAATAATCGACGCTCCGGGAAGTATGCAGTCTGTGAACATGTACAGGATCGCCCTAGTCACTACATCAGATTTGATAGACCACAAATCCTCGCTAAAGAACACCGATTCCTTCCAAGGATGATTCGGCTATTTAAATCAAAAAACATCCTTATTTCAATAGAGAAGATGGCTAAGTGCTACCATATGCGCGGGATCCTATAATTAATAAAATTAAATCCTGCGTATATCGTAACAAAAATTAATAATTTTAATCTGTGGTAACCGCGATTAACTGTGACATCTGAACATTGAACATCTCAGCCCATTATGGCTGCTGTAAAGTGCTCGAAACGTCGGATATATAAAAAAAGTTAATATACGCGATAAAATACGTAAAAACTATTATTATTTAAATGTGTAGTGTTTGCGTAAAATATTAGAATTATCTTTCTTACTATACATATAACGTGTGTTGGTAATATTATAAATATAAATGGACATAATGATTTCTTATATTTACGCGAACACTACACATTTATTAAAACTACTTTTACGGATTTTTTCGCGTTTAATTTTTAATTATTTTTAATTCCCGATGTTTCGGGTGCTTTCCAGCATCCATGGTAACGAGGGACTGAGATGACTGACGTCCCGATGTCATTGTTAAACTCGGAGTACCTTCAGCATTTTTAATTATTGTTTATGGTCCGATCTATGCAAAACGAACTGACTGTGCCTTGAAGTCATAGCTGATGTGAAGCATCAACGTCCCGTGAAGTCTGTAGTTTGTGATCATATCCTAGACGGACTCAACCATTACATCAGATTTGATATACCACAAATCCACGCGAAAGAACACCGATTCCTACCAAGGATAATACGTGAGGCTATTGAAATTAAAAAACATCCTAATTTCAATAGAGAAGGAAGCTGGGTACTACCACCTGCTTGGGACCTTATAATCAATAAAATTAAAACTAAAACCAAGCATACCACTGCAAGACTTCAAGACACAGTTAGTTCATTTTAGTTATAGATCGGACCGTAAACAATGATTAAAAAAGCTGAAGGTACTCCGGGTTTAACAATGATATCGGCACGTCAGTCATCTCAGTCCCCCGTGACCATGGGTGCTGGAAAGCACCCGAAACGTTGGGAATTAAAAATAATAAAAAATTAAACGCGATAAAATCCGTAAAAGTAGTTTTAATCAATATAAATGGAGATATTATTATCCCTTGGTCATCTTGACTTTCATCATATTACTTTAATGGTATTCGGAATATACACTCACTATCAATCAATACATGTAAAAAATAGTATCCGTACTACATTTGTGCACAGACAGGCACTATATTTTGCCATAACTAAAAAGATTTGGATTTTGAAGTACCTATTAATGCTGAATGTACCTACTGCACTAAGTGTGTGAAGTGCACTATTTTAACCTATAATGCCGGTAAAAACTAGTAGAAAATCGTTTAGTTTATTTATAGATCTTTGTAAGGTTCATATTTTAATTGTTAATTTCTCAGTACTGCGTTAAGATGCGGTAAAACTAATATTACTATTGTAATCTATGGATTATAAGAAGTAAATCGATATGTATTTCATTGAATATCGCGAAACTTTGTGGTGGGTCCATTCTGCATACAAAAAGAAATTGTCTCCTTTCTAATTTTAATATGCTTACGTAGACTCTAGCACAGTGATTCTTAAATTGGTCCAGGTGAACCCCTAGAGGTCTTATACCCCACTTAAGATCACAGTGGGAGACTTGACAAGCTATTTTAGCGTGAAAAATATGCGGGATTCACAAGTTGTAAGTGAAAATTTATCTGGTTTCAATAATAAAGAACAAAATTGTTGGCTTGGCTTTACCTTTCATATATACAGATAATAAACTAATCAGAAAAATGAAGTGGCAACAAAAATCGAAATTTTTCGAATAATAAACAACAATTTGCTGAACAATGATTTGATGAAAAAATAATTTGCTGTATTTCAGTGAAAAGCGTTTCACAGAAAAAAAATTTCTTGGTTGAATATAAATGTCCTTGAGTCAAGAAAATTTTAGGGTCAAAGAAGGAAGGCCAGAATTAACTTCAATCAAGTGTTCAATTTTTAATCTTTTGTCAATAAATTGTTTCTCAAGTCAAATAATCTTTCACGACTGAATTAAAATATTTATTAATTCAAGATATTTGTTTCTCAATTGAGGAAATAATTTTTTGAATCAAGATTTATCATTTATTTGTATTAAGATTAAACTTATTTGTTTAAGTCCTTTTTTTTTAGGTTTATGAGTCAATATATAAATAAATTTACATATTTAGCACCAATAAGGTGTTGAAGCTGAAATTTTAAAAAGGCTATCAAATATTTTGGCTGTGAACAGAAATACCCAAAAAAAACCCATACACTGTAGAAAATGACGAGTTTTGAGAATATGATAAAAATGTAGCAACCACAGAAACCAGTAAAATTTTGAAAGTGGTCTACGAAAAAAAAGTTTGGGGACCACTGCCCTAACGTGATTTAGCGGCTTTGTCATAAGTTTCATATGAAATTCATATTGTAACATCTATGCTAGCGGTTGACCACACTTGTATTACATTACCGTTACAGCCTGTTAGTATGGGCCCCCAGAGAGTGCCATAGTTTGTACGCTTGGCAGGCGGATTGACAACCGCAGTTTTATTTTTATTTTAGTCGTTATTAGGAATACGCTACTGCTCTTTTTTACTACATATTGATTTGTTTCCCTCTGTCGCGTCTTACGACACTTACGGGATGACATGGGGTAGTGGACATTCTTACATTGCCACGCACACGCTTGCATTACGATTTAAGATTAAAGAAAACAAGTAAAATTACATGCTGGCAGGCATGTCATCTCAGCTCCCTGAAGTAATATCGTACTATAGGTACGATGTTACTTACCTACTTTAATTGGAGTTAATTTAGGGTATTAAACGTATGTGTCACAATTTCATATGTAAACTTCGTTAGTTTAAAAAATAAATATTTTAAAAATTGATGACCGTTTGTAATTTCTTTGTGGCGCTTGAGATAATATTGCACTTACGTTAAAATGTACACACACAGCTATTGACATATTTTCATGAAGAGTTGAATCAGACTATTGGGATCTCAATGCGTTGAAGTTTGTAGTTCTAGAAAATTAGATGCATCATAAAAACTGTAATTATTTATATTTGGACTTGTAGGTAAGATGTTTTTACTTGGTAGAGCCATGCTATATTACTGGTATAGTTGTAGCACGAATGGGTCGACTCGACCAGGGAAGGGTTACGCTCTCACAGAATACCACTGTATGAAAACAGCTTAACGATGTTGTGCTCGTTTGTCACGTTTATCTTATAAAAAACGTGTGCCATGTACTAACTAGAAAAATAAAAACAGTTAATCTATAAAAGTATCAATAATTGAAACATCTTACAAATAAACAACACGTAGAAAAACCCTGTCTGATCCATAAGGATACTTTTGTAATCCTATTCTGAGAATAAATATACAAAATAACTTCACAAAAGATAAAATAAAATTTATTTTAACGGGGAAAATTTTCATTGTAATACAAGCGACGCAGGTTTAAGAATATCGCTGCCGACGGTTAATACAGATTTCAAAAGTGTATTAAATTTTAAGAAAATTTGGATAAAAATACTATGATGTTTTTGTAATGTCATTGCAGTTTCTTTTAAATCGATTTTTACATATTTACATACGTAAAAACACAAACAAACAACATTTTAAGTTTCGCGAACTAATATTCACGATCAGTGCGGATAACTAAGCCAAGCTGCGACGTGTACAGGTCGTCAAAAAGTCGTAATATAAGGGCACTGGCAGACATAAAAAATTACTAGTTTATAAAAAAATCTACAAGATGTTTTATTTTTCCTAACGATACATTTGATTTTATTTATTGCAGATGCTATAACAGAATACTTATATACCTTTTACTGGGTGTTTGAATTATTTCTTGGTAAGAAATACCCTCAGAAATCTAAAGAAATGGATAATCAAATTTATATTTTATATTATACGAATTTTAAATATTTTGTATAGTAACGTGTTTTACAAATCTTTAGAATTGTACTATAAATTTCATAGGCTGCGGCTGTACTACAATTACATCATCAGTCAAAGCCAACGTTTGGATGACAACAATGCTACAAATAACAGGCTTTCTTTACTTTGCGTTTATGTTTGGATACGTAGCATCCACACGTTCAGCTACTTCGCATGCCTTACTAGAACACACCGTGAGTAAACACACCGTCCTTAAACAGTATTATTGGAAAATCATGAAGTTTTATGGACTAAAATAACTTTATAAACCAGCTAACCAGCCGAACTAGCGATTAGACACATAGTAGAGCCACGTTGCAGCTATATTATGATTGTAGCACGTATAGGTCAACTCGATCGGGGAAGGATCACACTCTCACAGAATACCAGCGTAAAATAGCGGCTCAATACTCATGTGTTTCGTATGATGAGTGTAAAGAACCGGAGACTCTTTTCAACGGATACGAGGCATTCCACATTAGTCCTTAAGGGTGACAACGCATTTGCATTTTGATATTCAATCAAGCATGTAGATGTCTGTGGGCCATAGCATCCACTTTCCGTCAGGTGGGCTGTGTGCTCGATTGTCGCCTTTATTCTATATAAAACAATCGTATGGTTCATCTATACTCATTAATACTTCGATTTCATATGTCTATGTTACCTAGTTTATGGCTTACCGTGCGGCGGCGGCATATCAAGTATTTTTGTGACATACGTATAAAGACTGGTGACGACAGCAGCGTCCAACATGCGTGACTTCCTAAACTGCGACCGCATGCCAAGTGTGACGACTAAAACAAGATACGACTACAACGGGAAGGGCCCATATCTAGCTGTGGACTATCCCGTGGCTAATGAATAGTAACTTCCTAAAGAGACACCAGCCAAAAATATTACACGTCTTTTTATAGGATAGGGTGACAAACGAGCTTTCACTCTGTGGCCATTTACGATACCCACTGATAGTGGATTCTATTACGCCGGCACTACAAGAAGTGTAGCAATTATTTACTTTACAGCAACTACATTCTGTGCGCCATTTATGTATCGATTCCTTTTGAGATAAAAACGTAAATCTAATTTAAAGAAATAAAATACATAATAACATGTACTTCATTGCAGGAACAAACAAAAGATTTAACTAACTTTCTATATCAGCAAGACGTGGATTCTTTACTCATTATAAAAACTCTAAAATACTTTGAATACGTTTGGAAAAGAACAAATGGCAGTAACCCGCAGGTGACAATATTTATCGTTCGTATAAATCTTAAAATAACTTATGATAAAACATAAAAAATAATTCTCCTTATTATGTTGATGAATACAGGAACTATGTCGTGGTTTGAATTCAGCTTTGATGGAAGACACTCTGGTTTTTATGTACGAGAGAGCTTTGAGGGAAGTGCCGCTATTCGGCAGAGTAGAAAGATCATTTATCAGAGTCATCACGCAACACCTCCATGAAATGTACTTTCTTAAAGGAGACACCGTTATTCAATGCAAAGATATTCAAACTGATATTTATATTATTTACAGAGGAAAGGTATGTGTAAGGAAATTTTTATTAGAGACTAGCTGATGATACTCGGCGCGTTGCAGCCGCAGAAGAAATTGTGGAAGTATCGTATATTGTTTAATTTGGAATTATAAATACATTGATGGAAATTGAATGATATAAAACATTAAAAAAACATAAACACCCACGCCTGTCACCCAGAGGAGTAAGCAGAGACTACAGACTTCCATTTGGCACGATCCTCACACACCGCTTCGCTTTCTTTCGCCTTCTTCGCCACATACACCTACTTACCTACGCATACATGTTCGTCGGTTAAGGGTACTCCTAATTTGGCCCATTTTCAATATATCGCCAATTTGGTCGATAAACTTTCGCCTAGGAGGTCCTTTCCGACTCTGTCGTTCATTTCTGCTACATAAATTTGATTGGTCACTCTTTCCTCACTCATTCTTTCAACATGACCAAACCACCGAAGCATTCGTTTCTTAATCCTGGTCACAACATCATCTTGCAAACCACACTCTTCCCTTATCACACAATTTCTGATCCTGTCACTCAGATTCAACCCTAACATACTCCTTAACGACAGCATTTCTACTGATATAGTATGATATCATCATCATCATCATGATGATATCATACTATATCAATAGAAATGCAGTCGTTAAGGAGTACTGATATAGTATGATATAGTGTAAGTTAATTGTACTGTGCCTATAACCTTCGCGTAGATTCAAGCAATAAGTTGACAAATTTTTACAGCAATCTGATGAACGGTTGGGCAGCGCGTAAATTATGAACAAACAGAAACTAATTTTTATATATTAAAATACTATAGCAACAATAACGTGAACATTAAAATTTTTTTCTACAACTATTCTATATTTAACAAGTAGTCAACACAGTCCAAAATGCTATATATAATTATGAAATCTTTATATATATAAATTACGTGTCACGTTGTTTGTCAGCGATGAACTCCTAAACTACTCAACCGATTTTAATTAAATTTGCACACCGTGTGCAGATTGGTCCAACTTGAGAGATACGATAGTTTTATGCCCATGAGTGACCCATAATTTTTTTTTCGAATTTAAGAATTTTTAATAGGACATGACAAAGGGTCGTCGAAAAGGGCAGAACAACGTCTGCCTGGCAAGCTAGTATAATATAATGAAAAATCTAATTTTTACTTTACATAATCGACGTCTTCTTTTAGGTGGACGTACTCAGTACTTATAACGAAATGGTTACTTGTATGGGACCTGGTGGAATGTTCGGGAATTTCACAGGCGTAAATTTTCACACTATTCTTTTCTGTTGGTTGAAAAGTAAATAACATTTTAACTTGGTACGTAAATTTCTTTTCCAGCAAGCCGCTTCAAGTTCAGAAGTGTCCATATACGCCAGCAGAAGTTTGGATTTGTTAGTTATACCAAGTCAAACCTTTTTTAATCTTGTCAAATATTATCCTAAGATACAAGAACCTCTTAAAAAAGCTTTCGAAGTATCGAAAAATTACATTTTACCGATTACGATAGATATAAATAGTGATGATGAATCGACAGGTATGTATACTCGGAATAATGTCCTCCAGACCGAATTTCGGTCACGTCGGCCTGCCTCAACGGAGGCTAGCCATCAGTGCAGGACAGGATTATAGTGCCCAAGTGTATGCTCAAGCACAGGGGCACTCTCTATAACCTCACTCTCATAACCCGATGGGACGGTAAACCGACACGACTGGAGAGAGATCGGGCGCAGTACCAACGGCTTTACGTGATTTCCGAAGCACAGGCGTGAGACACCGCCAACTTTCTGACTCCGGGCAACTGAGAATTTCTTGACAAAATTAAACTCAATAGAAATAATTTTAATATTAATTCGGATTGATTTTTGGCTCGACGCGGGATTCGAACCCAGGACCTCATGATCAGCAGTCGCACTACTACAACCACTAGACCAAAGAGGTCTGCCTCGTTCTCTCCCGGTCGTGTCGGTTTACCGTCCCATTGGATTACGAAAGTGAGGGAACAGAGAGTGCACCTGTGCTTGCGCATAGACTTGGGCACTATAGTCCTGTCCTGCGCCGATGGCTAGCCTCCGTTAAGGCAGGCCGCCGTGGCCGAAATTCGGTCTGGACGATATTATTATTATTATACTCAGAATATTTACTTCCGTATTTAAAAACTTTTTTGAACTTCAGTGTTCGTTTTCAACTCATTGATATTACAGACGATTCCGACGCTGATTTTCAATCGCAAGATTCTGCCGTAGATTCTAGAAGTGGTTCTAGTCGATTTGAAATACCTAGTAAGTGTTGCTTTCCCTTTTAGGACGTAATTTTACTGTATCCATAATCCTATAGAATGTTTTATTCTCACAGTGGGACAGTTATCATTTCATAGTTCGCACTCTAGTATAAGTCAATCCAAATCTGTAGCAAGTGTTATGAGTTATCAAAGTTACATGCACATATCGAATTTACTTAGACCTGGAACAATGTTATTTCAAGTAAGTTACACTATTTCGTAAGTTATCTTTTGTACTTATATCCATCCGTCCATATTATTTTATCAAGGTCTTCTGAACATAGGCTTCTCAATATTTTGCCTCGTTACGGTGATATTTGCCGTAGTTCCCGTTCTTTGCGGACAGAGTTGGCAACCGCAGTTTTTAACTATCCAGTTTTTGCTAAGAAAACGCTTCTGCCTATCTGATTGTGTCTCTCCGTCTCGTACTAAGACACTATCGGGACTGCTTGGGGTAATGGATAATACTGCCTGTATCTGTGTACTGTCACTAAACACTTACAAGTTATAATGTTGTTGATGATGATGATGATGATGATGATGATGATGAAGAATGATTATAATCCTTTATAATGCCCAGCGAAGTGACTATCTATACTTTTTGGATATCGTTACACCACCACGACACATTTTACACATTGTTCATACTCGTATCCACTACAAACCAAAAAACGTTTCCCGTTAAAGATGTTGCTAATTTTTTTTATATAATAAGTATAATAGACTAGCACACAGTCTACCTGATGGTAAGTGGATACTGTGACCCATATACATCTACATTTATCCTCAATTAAGAATTAAAATGCAAATGCGTTGTTACCCCTGCGGACTGAGATAGAACGCCTCGTTTCAATAAAAAAGGTCTCCGGTTCTCTACACTCACCATAGGAAACACAGCAGCATTAGGCTGCTACTTTACGCTGATATTCCGTGAGAGTGTGGACACACCCCGGTCGAGCCGACCCATTCGTGCTGCAACCATGATACAGCTGCAGCGTGGCCCTACCAAGTAAAAATATTGTAACGAAAGTAATCTTACAAAGAGGGTTCATATTATTGAGACATTTTCGGTCTATCAATAATATTATCAATACAAACCTTTTACCATTAGGTTAAGAAATAACTTCCGTTGGGGAAAATTTATCTTACGCGTCACGTTTGACAAGCGGATTGACAACAGATGCGTGATGTCTAGTGTTGCTACTAGACACCACGCATCTTTGACATGTGACAGATATCATTACCTACTTCCACCCGAAAAGGAAATCTACACACAGGCTTTATTTCTATATGATGTATAAAATAGACTAAGCGACAATAATGCGACAATTTATTTCAAGAGTTAAAAATTGAAATTGAATTGTAAATGTTTTTTTTTTATTTAAAAATTCATACTAATAACTATTACTAAACTAAACATATTAAAATAATTTTTGTCGGGAAGGCGCTTGTCAATGGTCACAAGTTGAAATTCGGCATCCGTTGGGAAAATGGAATTAACGTAAATCGATTTTACGGCGATGATTTTTTATGATTTTAAAATGTTACTCTCTCCTCAAGAGAGCTTGTATTCAAAATGCTTTTGGGAGGGATACCCCTCATTTAAGCACCGTACGCTGAATTTGATCGTGGCCATGTCTCTATATATAACATATTTACTTTTTAAGCAGTAAATTACTATTATAAGTTTACATATAATTTTTTTATTTATGAGTTACGCAAAACTTGTATGTACCTCAAGTAAAACTATTTTTAGTGTATAAAATTATGCAATAAACATATTTCTCTTATTATAGGGTTTTGGGTATCTCTCATGTCTTGTGATTACGGCTAATTATGTTTTGATACTATACGAGCTCATAACTCTGAATGATTGTCAAGTGATATTTTGGTTGCAGTCATTTTTTGATATATATTCTTATATCAAGACTTACGCGTATATACATCAGGTTTGATAAACATTTATTCATTTTTATTGTTAAAAGTGTAGCTCTAAAAAGGTATATTTAGGGTCACTAATTCATTTACTAGTGTTTCTGACTCCACATAAAAAATTTTCTCCAAAAATATAAGAGCCAAGTGTAGCTATCAGCTTTTAGTTTAAAAGTTGTTGTTAAGAGTTTAAAAGTCCCAATTCCAACATATCTCTAACTATTTAAGATATTGTGAGTTCGTTTTCACTGTTTTTAAAACGAGACTACTGCATGTGCTCGTACGTTAGTGAAAATTTTGCGTCTTGCATATCTCGAGATGAAATTTCGATATGGTCTCCAAATCATATGACTTCATTTAACGCTCATGTCCTATTTTTATTTCACCGCCGAGCACTTGATAAATCGGCACTTAAAATTTCATCAAATGATTTAATTGGTTTAATCGGGGATCGAACTAATTACCCTTCCATGGATATCATAAGAGTTGATTAAATATCTATCAAGAAACGTTTCGTTTTATATATTTCAATGGATTGTAATATAGGCAAAAGTATATTTAGTTATTTTATTATATATAGTTAGTTCATGTACGTGAAGTTTTAGTTCTTCAGCTGACTATGAATTAACTTAAAACTTAGTATTTTTCGTATAAAAATGATTATAATGGAAACAAAATATTTTTAAATAAATAGTGTTTCTAACACTCATTTGCACGATCCAGAAGATTTCATCCGTATCCCATGTACCTAACGCATGTAGGTTCAATTTGGAGGAAGATTAAAATGCAGTTTTTTAAATATAAGGCAATCCAACCAGTTGCTCGTACGTACTTGAAAACTAGGATCCGCAGTAGGTAAAAATTGTATATAACAAAATGTATTATCCTTCATTACACTATTGGTTATATGTGCATTTCTATTGTCAGGGGTATTTAAATAAACATGGAGAATTGATATTAAGTCTCCCTAAATGTAGAATGAGATACTTCAAGCACAAGCTGTGGGTTTGGACGGATATAATTGCTAACTTTCCACTGGAATTGTTCGGTTTTTGTTTCGCGTAAGTTAAACCATTTCACTAGAAAGTTAGTTTAAATTCAATATTATTCACAGAAGTTTTAATATATCATTATTATTATTTTATTATTTATTTAAAACTTCGTACAAAATAAATCTAAAGAGCTTCAACAATTCTGACAAATTCACTACCCAAATCTAAGAAGATTTAATATTTTTTAAATTTTCAGCCAACCGATGAAAGCTATGCATTATTTACGAGCCACTAAGATTCTTCGAGTCAAATACATTTATGACTTCTATTGCAAGACAGCCGCTGAACTAACCAACAACCTCACAACTTTACAAGTACTTTTTTTACTATATCTATTTTCATAATTCTTTACAAACCAAACATTCTAAAATGTAATTCAAAACTTTAAATTGCAATTACAGAGAAGTTCTGATACCAAACCTTGAACTCAGGATCTATGAAAGTGCTATGATATTTTGGCTATTGAATGGCTATCAGAATACTTTATTGACATATTGGCCTAACTTACGGATGTCTGTCTGGTCTGGATATTTTGGGTCTGGTACCGGTAATTTTTGTGATAGATCTCAGCCACACAGACGGTAAAAAACAAACATAGCTGATTTAAATTATTGATCTACCTGTAGAAAAAATAATTTCATATATCTTATTCTCATTCAACCCTTTTTGTATCTGCTGTTTGATTCAGCACATATTAACTAATGTTAGCAACAGAAGGTTAAAGTCGCAGTTTTCAAATATTTATATAATGGTCTATGCTCGCAGGCATTTACAAAATTAATAAACCATTCGGACTTCACCCAAAAAGCGAAGGGTGTACGCATATTTAACCGTTTTTTCGGACATTACCCCTATATAATGTCCTCCAGACCGAATTTCGGTCATGGCGGCCTGCCATAACGGAGGCTAGCCATCAGCGCAGGACAGGATTATAGTGCCCAAGTGTATGCGCAAGCACAGGTGCACTTTCTATTCCCTCACTCTCATAATCCGATGGGACGGTAAACCGACACGACCAGAGAGAGATCAGGCGCAGGACTAATGGCTTTACATGCTTTCTGAGGTACGGGGGTGAGACACCGTCAACTTCCTGACTCCGGGCAGCTACTGAGAATTTCTTGACAGTAAAAATCAATAACTGTTTTTTTGGCTCAACCCGGGATTCGAACCCAGGACCTCATGTTCAGCAGTCGCACTACTACAACCACTAGACCAACGAGGCAGTTCCCATATATATGTATATTATGATAATATTATATTGTATTTGTGTTTCATTTACAGGCGGTAACGACCACACTTTTGATCGTTTTGTTCATACACACATTCACGTGTATTTGGTTAACAACTTTAATTGCTACATCGCCAATTAGTTTTATTAGAACTCTTAAAATGCATCTGATCGAGGAGTAAGTAAAAAAAGTTTTCAAATTAATAACCCGGCTTGACCACGCTTTTTTTTAAATTAATTAACCTGCGTTGATTAAGCTTTTTCAATAAAGTGAATCTAACTACTACTGTATGGTCTAGGTATATTATCGACTTTATCATTTGACTATTTGTAATTTAGATTTTTTTTCATATTTAGCAATTACGCGTCGAACGAAATTTGTTTGGGGTTAGAATTACAATTTATTCTCTAGATTTGTGATACTTAGAAGATACATTATACTAGCATTTTTATAACGATTAATGTACCCGTGGACTTTGCTTTTAATAACTTTAACAACGTCAGTGTTCGATGCCGAAATTCGAGATTACGTCGTTATCTTTCAGTGTGTCTCTCTGTCTGTCATAAACGTTTGCCTCAATAACTAAATAGTAATACGTAAATCACGTAAAAGTCCAGAGTGAATTCGAAGTGAAACTCATCGCGCCACCTGCCGGAAAGTCAGAACATTGCCAGACCAGCTAGTATACAATATAATATCCTTTCTTTATATTAATACGTGAAGGGAAAACTTTGTGACCCTTTATAAGCATATTATGCTCATGGAGGAGTGTGACATCTGGCTTCGTTAAAGTTTATGTGCAGAAAGAGTGCAAAAAGCTAAGAATTACTTGTAATACGTGTTCTTTACGTTTTTATATGTAGTAGAGCCACGCTGCAGCTATATTATGGCTGTAACACGAATGGGTCGGCTCGACCTATATAAATAGCAACTTGATACTGCTGTGTTTCGTATGGTGAGTGTAGAGAACCGGAGACCCTCTTTGACTAGAAACAAGGCATTCCATCTTAGTCCTCAGGGGTGATAACGCATCTGCGTTTTGATTATTAATCGAGGATTTATGTAGATGTCTGTGGACCACAGCATCCACTTACCGTCAGGTGGACTGTGTTCTCGTTTGTCACCATTATTCTATAAAATAAAAACGTACATACTGCCAATGTTTCAAAGTAAGTACTATGCTCATGCTTTAGTTATTGTTCTACTATATATGACAATGATATGTTTTACCATAATATTCTAAGGCCAATGTAAGAGTCTGTGGTTAAACATTCATACAGAGTAGATATTTCCACCAAATGATCTTAAAACAACAAATAATTACCGACAGATTGAAAGAGTGACCTGTGAATTTTGTGCGATTTCAACATTGACTTATATATTACTAGCGTAAGGACCGGGCCGACCGAACAACTAAAACGGACCAAATTAGGGCCAACGCGAATCGTTCGTCAGTGGTGCGCGCGCAGAACAGATTTGATTGTCATCTTGTCATAAATATGCCTAGTTTCGTTGTAAATGGATGCTAAAATTAGGATACAAGGAAAAAAAGGAACATGGGATATTTTATCATAGGTAAGTAAACCTTACATTAATTTTGTTATAATTAAATTATTATATAAACGCATTTTCAACACACAGTTTTACAGTTAGTCAGCTTAGTTACGTTACCAAGATTACGCCAGGGTTGGATTCAGACCCTCAAAAATATTGTACATGGAAAATAAAATTATATTATTTTCAAAATATTATTGTCCAAAATTATACCACGTTTGACATTTCATATTTCTTTTTCCCATGCGCCGATATTGGCATCACACGAATAATCTATAAGTTTCGTTATTTGACGGTTTTATTTTTATTTCTGTTTTATTTTGTATGAAGTTAGAGTAAGTTAAATTTTGAACATTGGTGCCTAATTTGTTCTATATTCAATAGGGGTAAAACGAAAGAAGTATAAAAGAAACAATAACTACTTAATTGAAACTGAAAATCTGATTCATAAAATATTTTGAAATTCTGTTTTATTTTTAACACGCAACTGAGAGAAGCTGCTGCCGTCATCAAGCTTCTGGTAAAAATGGATAGGCGAATGGCCCGGCCACACTAAGGAGAAATGCCGTTAATTATCGCGTTGATGAACGTTGAATGTAGGTGTTGCCACGAATTAACGCGATAATTTTCAACGGCATTAACAATGCCGTTTCCCGTTTGCCGATAACTCGAGTGGCGGTACATCAAAGGATTAACGCGCGAATTATCGCGTTGAAGCGGCCACACTACGTTTGTCTCATTGTGCACGGTGAGTGCCACGGGTTTGCACGTATGGCTGCGATGGAGTGGAGTAATGAAAAAGCTTTTTGAGATTGAATTAAATAAAATTACTTCAAAAGTACTATAATTATGAAAGTACGAAACTAAGAAAAATAAGCAGGAGAAAAAAAACAATTTTTGCAGGTCAAAATTCATAGTGTACAGTGGTACGAAACCCTGAGTAGGTAGGTACGTGTATCTAATTCGCACTTGACCAGTATTTATGATTGGCTTATTAGTTATTACTTCATTAAAATATATTTACGTTTGTCCTATTATTTAGCTTAAACCATTGGACGTCTTTCTAGTGCATTTTGGGTGCGGGAAAACAAAATAAAACATAAATAGATTTACAGTGTACGTTTCCTGTGCATTACAAATGCATCCACCACCTTCTTTTTCTTTGTATTCATTTTTTCTTTGTTTATTTTTTATTTTATAGGATTGGGTGGCAAACAAGCACACAGTCCACCTGATGTTATGTGGATGCTGTAGCCCACAGACATCTACATATATCCTCGATTACGAATCAAAATGCAGATGCGTTGTCACCCGTGAGGACTAGGATGGAATGCCTCGTTTGCAGTAAAAAGAGTCTCCGGTTCTCTACACTCACCATACGAAACACAGCAGCATTAAGCTACTATTTTACGCTGGTATTCTGTGAGAGCGTGGTCCTTCCCCGGTCGAAACATTTAACAACGGCAAATTTAACGCTGTTCAACGGCAAATTTAATGCCGTTCAACGGGAAACGACGTTGACCGTTCAAGTGTAGCCACTCATTTTATCGCGTTAAATTTAAGGCAATAATTGTTGCGTTTATGGGCATTGACGTTGCTCGTTAGTGTAGCCGCAGCAGAAGACTTATAAAGAATGTTTATATTCACCCGCCCTTCGAAAATTTGCTATGACATTAAATTTTTACTCTCCATCTGCCTATAAATATACAGCGAAAATTTGACTGTTGTCTTCCTCACCCAAGAACCTTGACTGAATGGTAAATTAATAAAGACTTGTTAGTTATGTGTTATAAACCGGACGCGTATATGTTTTACTTCATAGGTTTGATTGTACTCTTTGTTATAGATATAGCTCCATTACGGCGAACCTGGATTCACACAGGAATCGTTTGAAATGCTTAAACTCAAAGGGACAATATGTCATAAAATGTTAAATGCTGTCTAATTTTTGATTAAATGAACATTCGACAGGCCAAATTATGGAAAGGCGAAAGAAATGTTGGTCACGTAGACATGGGGTATGAAAAAATTGACAAAGAAAAGAAAGCCACTAAAGCTTTTGTAATGATGCTCGTTAGTCTTTCTGAAAATTGGAAAATATCAGTCGGTTATTTTTAGTGGATGGTTTTACTAGTGAACTTATAGCAAATACTGTTAATATTTGTCTTGAAAAATGTTATTCCGCCGGTGTCAATGTCGAAGCTCTCACATTCGATGGATGTTCTACGAATGTTTAAGCTGCAAACATTCTGGGTTGCAACATAAGTAGTGCAGGTCAATTAAAAACAACATTCCCTCACCCTGTTACAAAAGTAAATATTGTAGTTTTCATGGACGCATGTCACGTCACATGACAAAGTTAGTAAGAAACGCGTTTAAAAAATAGATAATTTTCAACGAGAAAGATCAGCGAATAGAATGGAAATTTTTGATTCGGCTCTTAAAACTCCAAAGAAACCAGTGGCTAAATTTTTATAATAAATTAACCTACAGACACATATATTTTATAAACCAAATAATGAAAGTTAAATTAGCGACTCAATTGCTAAGACGAAGTGTTGCAAAATCACTGACACTCTGCAACGAAATATTACAATGTAGTTATTTTTCAGAAAGTAGTGCGACAGTCGATTTCATTAACTTATTCAATAACATATTCGATATTTTGAATTCTCGCAGATTCAATGAATTTTGATACAAGAGAGCCATTTCTCCAAAAAATTAAGAAAAAAATATTTAATATTATTGAGGAGGCTATTGGTTACATTAAAGGTCTAAAAATTTTTGCTAATGTGAAAAGAAAGATTAAACGACATAACAGACCACCACGAATTATGATGATTATTAAAAAAAGTATTTTGGAATCTAGAAGCAAAATGGGATTCTTAGGATTGATTGTGTGCTTAGAAAGTTTAAAACTCCTCTATTTAAATTTAGTTGAGTCGAATTCTAAATTGAAGTACATTTCGACGTATCGTCTGTCTCAGGATCATTTAGAGCTATTTTTTAGCTTGATAAAAAAGTACGGTGGATACAATGATAACCCAAACAATATACAACTCAAAGGAGCGTATAGGCGTTGCATGAATCACTTATCATTAAAATCGCAATTTACTGGAAACAGTATTCCTTTGGATAATTTTCCAATATCAATTGTCTAATCTGTAAATGCTATTAACTGTACCACTGAAATGAATCGTCACGCAGACGAAGACAAGCCCATGGACACATCGACAGGTACATATCTGGAGGAAAATGATGTAGTATATTCAAATAACTGTGCACAGTTACCGCATACTTTGGATAACCCAACTGAAAACGTCGTTTGGCCACCTCACAGAGAATATAGAACTCATTATTGGGTATATTGCCGGATGGGTAGCCAAAGGTTTAACAAAAAAGAAAGTGTGAAATTTGTGTAATCAGTCTAGTTACTAATTAAAAATTATTCTTTCATAAACTGATTGAATTAACAAATATGGGCGGACTTTGCTTTCCTTCTCCGGACCTGTTTGATGTAGGTATGCCTAGAAACCGAAAAAAATATAAGACACAATAATAGACCCCAATTTATGGCAAAAAGTGACTATATGTTTCTGTCAACAAAAACTCTAGCAAAGTTTATAGGAAAGAGCACTTTCACTGTTTTAAACTTGCACTTTGTTGATCAGCCGGCAACATTGAATCATAGATTGCATCTTATTCGAGCCATAATTAAGAAGTATATAAATGTCAGAATGCATCACGAGTCTATCATGGAAAACTCGGGGAAGGGAACTGAAAGACAAAGATTTAAAAAAAATTGTTTTATTTAAAGGACAATAATTGTAATGTGTATAAAAATATTCAAACTTTTTCGTCTTTTATTTTCGGTTTTAAAATATTCTAATACTTAATTATTATAACAATAATATTACATATAACAAAATTGACTTGTTTACAACTTCAACTAAAGCTTTTTGAGATTAATTTGTTTTACTTACGTTTTCTTTGTTACCTGTAAAATGTCATCGCAAAAAGGAAATCGTTATATGTATCGGCTTACAACTGAGTTATACTGACCAACTAAGATAAAATGTGATAAAAAATCATGTATGCATATACAAAGTTATATCGTCGACCTATGCAAGGCAGTACTCACGTACAATACAGAATTTCTCGATATTGTAGGGTTAATATTAAGTAGTAAAAGGACACAATAATAATACAAGTCGGTTGACCTTAAAATAAAATTACGGTATTTTCACCTAGTTTTATTAAGATACTACACACTACGAAATAATGGAAAAATTGTATAATTATATTACGAAATCCGACCCTGGTTACGTCGTGTTATGACGTTAGTATTATGACAGATGCGCTACTTTTTTCTTGTATGAAAATGTTATGAGTAAATTATTTATATGGGCCTATCCTTACGCTAGTAATATATAAGTCAATGGATTTCAAACCTTCCTTTTTCATGAGTGTGTGAAGTGTACGAGTATGTCAAGACAAAAAAGTTATATTTTGTATCTATATTAGATATCTATTATTTTATATATATGAAACAGAGCCGTGGTAGCTCAAAGGCTAAGCGCTCGATATAAATTTCACAGTACGTTAGCAGCCCGGGTTCGATCCTCGCCAGCGTCAATGAAATTGTTAATTGCAATTTTAAGTGTTGATTTGCCACGTGCTCGGCGGTGAAGAAAAACATCGTGAGGAAACCTGCATATTTGAGAAATAAGAAAAAATACATATTTCGAAGGCATGTGAAATTCGTCAACACGCATTGGGACAACGCGACGAAAATTTGCTTGCCCCAAAACTTTTTCAGAAATGAAAGGAGGTCTGTGCCTATCAGGGGGATGTATATAAGCTGTAGCTTTAAGCTTTGCTTAATACACAAACCTAAAAAATTTTATAAATCACGGCCAAATTTCCATCACTAGGCGACCACTAATATACATAATATATAAAGATACACACTGGATAAACTAATGTGTGCTTTTTAAACCTGATGTTGGTATAAAAATCACCCATAAAAGCTAAAGTGCAGTTACAACCAGTTTTGATCGACTTCAGTATCAGCCGATTGCGTCGGTTAAAGTTACTTTAAAGATATTTGTAAAAGCTAATTTTTTTATACGTATTTTAGTGATACACCGCAACATCGTTGGGACTATACGACATCTTTATATTTAGTGGTGTCTGAGTTGACTGGGACCGGCGGCGACGAAATTCATATCATAGAATTATTCTCAATAGCTATATTAGCGTTTTGCCATATTTGTGGTAAAATGCTTGCAGCTGTCGTTGTCGCTACGTCTATACAGATCGCTTATTCAACCAAATATGCTTTAAATACCTACGAAACAAAAACGGAAGAACTCATTGATGTATTAAGGAATCAAGGCTTGTCAGGTGAAATTACAAATTCTAACAGTAACATTAAATAGTCACCATTGGGGATTTGGTGACTGAATATATTTATTTTTACAAATCTCGTTAAATGAGAAATATTATAAAGCATATTAATAAACGATATTCTATTCTATTCTATTCTATTCACATAGAAGAGCCACTGTGCAGCCATATCAACAAGGGTAGAGCTATGCGGCAGCTTTTGCTGTTGCACGCATGTACTCGAACCGGGAAGGTACCATGACATCACATATTACCGGCGTGAAGTAAAAGTTTACTTCTGCGTTTTGCCCCAACCCCCTCCCCTCCCTTCAAGTGATAGTAAAATTTAATAAAACACTACCCCAAGAGGTTATCAGCACCCCTGCTAATGAAGAAAACTAAGATAACCCTGCCACGCTCTCAGTGCAAGATCAGGGGACTTCATTTGAAGCGTAACATCATTAACTACCATCTGGAGACGGCGAAGCCGGCCTTGCTCTTTCTAACCGAGACGCAGGTGTCCTCTCCAGCTGATACTTTGTATCTCTCCTAAACGGGGTATAAATTAGGACATTCCTTTGTGCCTCGAGTTAGAGTTTGCGTATACGTCAGAGAGAACATCCATCTTTTCTTTGACTGAGCGTAGATACAGACCGATTCATCGATCTCATCCAAATGGCTACAGGTTCCTTGCTACAACAGGTGATTTTAACGCTTACCACGCTGAATGGCTTGGTTCTCGTCTATACCGATCATGCGGGAAGATCTGTTTATGAATTTGCTTTAAGATATGGTCTGAAACAACTTGTTACTTCGCCTACGCGGATTCTAAATGTGGAGGATTATGCATCTTCCTTGTTGGAGCTTCTACTGACCCCTCATTCGGATGGATATCAGGTCTCCGTCAACGCCCCACTTGGCTCTTCGAACCAATGTCTCATCCAGAGTATAGTATCACGGTTGCATGCTACAGGTTGCCGCCTTTTTTGGAACTATAGATCAGCTGATTGGGACAAGAGGTCTTTTTTGCATCCTACTCTTAGGGGCGAGTTTACCTTTCGCCGGATGATCCCATTGTTGTTGATGTGGTACTTTAGGGAAAGGAACTTTTTATTCCATTATCTGTAGAGCACATCGGAGGCAGATCCCACCCATGGTTTGTCGCTCCTGTAAAATTGCATCTATTATATCTATTATAAACAAGAATGATGACTCGAAATCATGGAAAACAGCTTTAGTGCACCTGCAATTCCTCTGGTGTTGCAGTTGTTTATGGGCGGTGGTCGACACCCGTGAACAACTGCAACACCCATGAATCAGGTGAGCCGTGTGCTCGTTAGTCCCCTCCGCTATACAAAAACCTATTATGGCTGTAGCATGAATGAGTCAGCTGAGCAGTTAGTTATACCATTTAATCGATTAAAAATATTCGAGTAATTCATTCATGGGTCAACAAAAATGTCACAGAAAATATTCATACCTTATCTATCAAAAGATTTAAAATTTTTACTGAACAAATATTGTATAATATCCTACTAGAGAGTACATGTTTGGTAATAACCAAAATTTTTAAGTACCTTTACTCGTCTTTCCGTATAAGTTACAACAATTGCAGTAATTCTACACTATATACGTAAAGTAGAAGAAGGTTGGTCTTCTTTTCTTGTTTTAGCAGAAATGTTGGCTTCAAACACAAATCCCGTGACATTGCAATCACCAAACGCAAAACCCAAGGTCTCGTGGTCTTCACTTACATACATATATATTATTTGATTCTTTACATAGTTTAATTTATAAAATAAATACTTGCATTTGTTCTTTATCTTAATCATCATTACTAAGCACCGAAATATGTTTCCCCCAAAGTCTGCATACAGTACTATTGTATAATTTGTTCTGCAAAGATAGCTAAGGTAAACTGCCAGAGTAACTTTGTTATCTGAAAACATTTTCTTAATTGAAACCGTAGTAGGACTTCAAAAAGCTTTCCATGAAATCGGTCAATCAGGTCTTCTAAAAAAGTTTGATTTAATTACTTTATCTTAATAAAGTAAAATATAATTTCAGATTATCAATTTAAAAAGTTTTTGAAATACGTCCAACAGCTTTGGGTGAACGAACGCGGTCGACAGGTAAAGTACAACTAGGGTTTCTTTGCATTAATAATATGAATTATATAGTTACCTTAAAGAGTTTTATAATCTTTTATACAGTTTTTAATATAAAGGTGACAAATTAATTTTAATTTTTCTCAGTTGCCTGCCTTGTTGGCTAAAACCCCTTATGTTTTGCGTTGTGATCTTATGACTGCGATGTTCGGTCATCATCTGAGAAACTGTTACTTGTTTGCTGAAACAGGAGAGCCATTTCTACGTCAACTTAGCGCTGCATTAAATTACACAATTTTCTTTCCAGGTAATTGACTCTACTATTTTTATCTATTACATTTGAAGTTTTGGTCTGTTTATCTGTTTGCTTTCTTTTGTAGCGCGTAAAGACTTTATTGAGATGGATATTTTTTTGAAAAACATTGAGTAGTACTTGGAATAACAATTCCCTTATGTTTTTAAAATTTTACTTTCATATATAGTACAAAAAGAAGGCTACTTAGTCTTGGCAATATATATACTCTATACAGGGTTATTTTTTTATAGAATAAAGGTGACAAACGAGCACACAGTTCACCTGATGGTAAGTGGATGCTGTGGCCCATAGACATCTACATTTATCCTCGATTAAGAATCAAAGCGCTGATGCGTTGTCATCCCTGAGGACTAAGATGGAATGCCTCGTTTCCAGTAAAAAATCCGGATCTCTACTCTCACCATACGAAACACAGCAGTATTTAGGTACTATTTTACGCTGGTATTCTATGAGAGCGTGGTCCTTCCCCGGTCGAGCCGACCCAATCGTGCTACAACCATAATATAGCCCCATGTACAAACGTAGTAAAGCCACGCTTTTCAAAGAGTACGCAAACTTTTCAAAGAGTAGCCAAATTTTAAACTTAAGTTCAAATATATAAATAATGATATACCGTTATTGCAGTTTTTGAAAATACGATTATTTTATTTGAAATATTATTGGATGTGATTGTAATGGCCAACAACGTTTTTGCCTGCCGATCGATTCTTACGAACGTGTGTGTGTATGCCGTAAAATAATTTAAAATAATGCCTAATAACGCTTTTTGAATTTAAATGATGAAGAGGTCTTCGTCACTTTTTGGCTATATTATTTATTATGTACTTTCTCTGCAAATTTGGCTGCATATTGCAAAATAACCCTGTATATAGTGTGCCATGACACGTATCAAAATAAAATAAAAATTTCGAAAATACACGTTGAACTCGAGCTGCCTTGAATAATTATCTTTATATACAAGTACACAGGTATAATGAGACTGATGATTTTTTGATGCACTACTAGATTATCACTAAATGAATTACTTATATTCACGAGCTCACGAGTGGCGATTATACAAAATATAATTAGTAATCAATATTTGTAACGAAATTTAACTTAACTGAATTATTGTACTTATTTTATAATAAATATTCCATTAAAAGATAGCATATGTCATAACATTGCAACTACTTAAGTAATAAATATAACTACGACTGGTTCGTTGATATAGTGGTCGTAAACGCAGTTGTTGATCATGAGGTCCGGGGGTCGAATCCCATTCTTACGTGGTAGATCCACGCTACAGCTATATTGCGGTTGTAGCACGAATGGGTCGGCTCGACCGAGGTAGATAGCAGCTTAATGCTGCCGAGTTTCGTATGGTGAGTGTACAGAACCGGATACACTTTTTACTGGAAACGAGGCATTCCATCTCAGCCCTCAAGGGTGACAACGTATCTGCATTTTGATTCTAAATTGAAGATAAATGTAGATGTCTAAGGGCCACAGCATCCACTTTTCATCAAGTGAACTGAGTGCTCGTTTGTCACCCTTATTCAATAAAAAGATCGGGCTAAAATTAGTCATTGGAGTTTTCTGTCAAGAAATTCTCAGTAGCAGCTTAAAGTCACGAGCCCGTGCCTCGGAAAGCACGTAAAGCCGTAGGTTCTGCACCTGATCTCTGTCCGATCGTGTCTGATCATCTGTCCTATCGGATTAAGAGAGTGAGGGAATAGAGTGTACACCTGTACCAATGCATACACTCGGGCTTTATAATCCTATTATGTGCACATGGCTAGTCTCTGTTCAGACTGACTGACCAAAATTCGGTCTGAAGGACATCATTATTATTATTAGTAAATATAAAAAAATTGTAATATCTTATATTAGTTATTAAAGTAATCGCTCCCATAAAATCTCTTGTTATAATGTTTACTACTTTTAATAGAAGATATTAATTTGGAATGGGAATTAAGGGATTTTATTAATTTTATTGTTAATTTATAGATTTTATTAAATTTATTGTTACAGAATAAACATTTTTTGAATTTTTGAATTTTGATTAAATATAGAAAATTAATAATAAACACAAACAGAATTTATAATCAATACTTTCTTAATAATAAAAAAAATATTATGTATATTTAAAAAAATCCAATTACAGGAAATTACATAGTAGTGGCAGGTGATAGTGAAGCACGAATGTATTGGGTAGCGTCGGGCACAGTGTCTGTTGTGACGGTACGCGATGACTTAACAGAGACAACTTTCGAGTCCCTCGGCCCTGGAGATATGTTCGGCATTCTACAGGGCTTGAATCGAGGGATAACCCATAGTTTCTCCTATAGAGCTGAGACTAAAGTAAGTAGTATAAGTTTAAGCATATAAATAATTCCTTAAATCTAATTTAATTTCCTTTATCTTCTCAGATTATAGGAAATATAAAATAAAAAGCCACTAAAGTAATTATTTAACTTAGAGGTGATTATTCAATAATCAGATTTATCCAACTGGCCGAATACAAAAGTGAAACAATTGAAGTATTTAATACTTAAAACTGTAATTTTAATTTGTGTATAATCATATTTTAATTAAAATGTTTTTTCAGGTGGGTATTTTAACATTAAGCTTAGATTCGTGGATTAATATTTTGCCGTTTTTCCCTGATACGCAGAAAATCATTGCGGATAGATCTGTAGTTTTATTTGCTAAAATTTGATTTTCGTCTTCATCTTTAAAAATAATGTCAAAAGACTGAAAAACATATACTATTGATTAACTTACATTTTATTTAGAAATTAATAAAAATATTAAATAAAACTATCTTTTCATTTCAATTGTTAATTCAATTGTTAATTGCAATTTTAAGTGCTGATTTACCACGTGCTCGGCGGTGAAGGAAAAATGTGAGGAAACTGATGTCTGAGGAATAAGAAAAAATTTTGAAGAATGTGAAGTTGTAAACGCTTTTGGGGGGCGGACACTTCCTTGCAAACCCTCTAGAAATGAGTGGAGGCCTGAGCCCAGCAGTGGGACGTAATAGGCTGTAACTTTACTTTACTTTATCTTTTCATTTACTTTAACAATTTTAGTTTTAATTTTAGCCATTATTAAAATTACTATCACAGTTGGTAAGTCTTATATCAATTGCTCCAGACACCTGCTTCTGCTTGAATATTCTCGTATTATTACATTACAACAGATTGTCTCAAAGTAAGTATAGGTACTGCAGACTCCTGCGTAGAAAATTAGTCCTTCCACCTAATAAAACTCATGCGATGTACTTCAGTTCAACATTGAATGCCTCTGACGCTTATTTCGTTCTATTCTATCTCTTATCTTCTTTCAAATATAACTTTTATCTTCTATCAAATCCGAGGGTCATCATCGCTGAATATCGAAGAATCGTCCTTGGAACTCAAAATTCCCATAAGGCGTCGCAAACCCTCAACATTAAATGGTACTTACATGATACGACAATGGTATCATCTATGGATCAACTCTGCCTCAAAATGTATGTAAATAATATGTAACTACATGTCGAGAGAAATTGGTCATCATTATATGTTATCGAAATATGCGAGACAAAAATTTACGTACACATTGGTTTCATTCAATGATAATTTTATTGCAGCCCATCGAAAGTTCACTGCTCACACAGATTGGCTTATAGAGGGAACATTTGTTAGAACAACACTTGTCAGGCAGGAAGATGCTGATACTCATGTCCTGTTTCACTCCCTTTTCTGGCTCTTTCTACACCCAGGAAACGTAGTGAGAATATCTTACGCCGTTATATATATATATATATATATATATATATATATATATATATATATATATATATTAATATATATATAATAGTTAATTACTATATATGTAAAACGGCTTAGTTAATTACTTCTCCGTCCCCCCTAATTCATAAAAGAAATGCTTGATTATTTTTTGTCGCATTCTGACATTTGCGAGACACTTGTTGCTAGAAAGTGACAAAATTTATAAGTGATAATATTTGTGACATTGGACAAGGAAAATGACGATAGTAGTTGAATTGCTGGGTATCCAGCAGTCAGTCAATCATATGGCTTAATAGGCTTAATTTCGCGGTGTGACGTCTATATTATGTCAACAGGACTAACAAACCCCACTTCTCCAGTGGCAACCTGGCGATCATGGCTGTAAGGATATCCATAAAGAAAATAAAAAAGTTACAGTTCGTGTTCCAGTAGTATCATATAAATTTAAACGAAGTCTACCATAAAGATAATATGTTCATACATTTATGAATGAATGAATGAATGAATATACTTTATTGCACACCACAAACAAATTTACAAATAACATAACAGAGAGCAGATTACATGTACAATTTGGCGGCCTTATCGCTACATAGCGATCTCTTCCAGGCAACCAAAGGTGTAAAGGAATAAAACAGTGAGTACTAGGTAGGTGGTGCAATATAAATATACCTAATATAATATCAATACATGCAATAAAATAACATATAAGTAAATAACTAATACATTAAAAAAATATGATACACATATACATAGGTATATACATAAACATACACACACATATATACATATATATATACATATACATACATATACATACATACATATACACACATACACATATATACATACATATATCCTCAAAAATATACCACTAACAATAACATAAACAAATAAATACAAAACTATATAATCACATAATTTATCCTAATGATTTTCGAACGATTGAGACAAGTAATGCTCTTTAAGAAGTCGCTTAAAGACTACAATAGTCTGAGCTTCGCGTAAATACAAAGGTAGGGCATTCCAGAGCTTAATAGACTGTACAGTAAAAGATTTATTAAAGAAAGATGTATTGTGAGTTGGTACCCTTAAAATGAGTTTTCTTGAAGAGCGTAAAGGTTCCCCTGGAAGCCCAACAAAACTAAATTTCTCCTTAAGATAAGGAGGAGTAGAAGGGTGAAATAAGACACAGTACAGAATAGAAAGAATATGCATGTTCCGGCGAAATTGGATAGGTAACCACTTGAGACGTGAGCGAAATTGGGAAATGTGGTCAAATTTGCGCAATCCAAATATGAACCGAATACTAGTATTTTGAAGTCTCTCAAGCTTAGTTAGCTGGTCTTTAGTTATGTCTACATAGCTTGCGTCGGCATAGTCGAGAATCGGAAGGAGAAGAGACTGTGCGAGCATAATTTTTGTAGGAATGGGAAGAAATGATCGAAGGCGACGCAGTGAACTAAGAGCGACAAAGGTTTTCTTACTTACCTCATTCAGTTGGCGTTTCCAATTTAAGGAACTATCAAGGTAAACACCAAGATTTTTGACATTGTCAAAGTAAGGGATCACAACCCCATCGAATACAACAGGTGGTATGGAAAACCAGTCAATTCTTGAGATAAAGCTCTGACTACCAAAAATGATAGCCTGTGACTTTTTAGGATTGACATTTAGGCCATATGATTGACTCCACTCATGAATCATATTTAAGTCATTGTTTAATGTAGCGATTGCATTTGGCAAATTCTCAAGAGTTGACTGGGTGTAAATCTGGACATCATCCGCATACATGTGGTAGAGAGAAGAAATTTTATGAGTAATTGAATTAATGAAAATGGAAAAGAGTAAAGGTGACAACACGCCACCCTGCGGCACGCCTGCAGTAATATCACACCAAGATGAGTGAGTTTCATCAAGATGAATACACTGCCGACGGCCACAGAGGTAACTTTGAAACCAGTCAATTACTGATGGAGATATGTTAAGGGAATACAACTGACTCAACAGTATATCGAAATCAACAGTATTGAACGCATTGCTGAAATCTAGCAAGGTCATGACTGTGAGTTGTTTATTATCCATACCCCACCGTATGTCATCGGTAACTTTAATTAAGGCAGTAGCCGTACTATGACCGGGACGGAAACCGGATTGTAAAGAATTCAACAAATTGTGCTTATTAAGGAAAAGTGTCAGCTGTTGGCAAATAAGTTTTTCAAGGACTTTAGAAAGGAAAGGTAAAATCGAAATGGGACGGAAATCAGTGAGGTTGACGGGATTAGATTTCTTCGGAAGGGGTATAACATAAGCACTCTTCCAGGCTTGTGGGAATTTAGAGGAAGATGCACATGCGTTAAGCAAATGAGTGATAATGGGAGTGATAACATCAAGGAGAGGAACGATCATATTACGGCTAATGCTGTCGCTACCGACAGCATTTGAGGAGATGGATAATATGATTCTCTTAACATCACATACAGTAAATTGACTAAAAACGAACGGAGAATAATTAGGAGTCGGACTTACAGAAAGAGAACGAAGTGTTTGCAGTTTATGTTCACTATCAAAAGAGTTAGAAGGATTAGAAAAATGTTGATTTAATAGTTCAACATCAACACTGGGAGGTGAAGTATTAAGAGAGTTTCTACCAACTCCAACTGTTTTAAGAAACTTCCACACCCTAGATGAGTCGCCGTTCTCGACTGATGAATGAATATGGCGTCGTTGTGCATCTCTACACAATGTGTTGCAGCGATTCCGGATTTTAGTGTATTTTCTAAGGTTTTCCTCTGTTTTGTTCCTCTTAAGCTTTGACAATGCCGCATTCTTCTTCAAAATTAGCCTTTTCAGATCATCAGAGAGCCATGGGGCAGGTAAGTGCTTGAGTTTAACATAATGCATTGGCGCGTGTACGTCATATAGCTGAGTGAGAAGGGAATTGAAAAGTTCCACTTTATCGTCAATGCATGGTGCTCTCTCAATCACTGACCAGTCAATATTATGAGCATCTTCGCAAAGTTGGTCAATATCCATTCCTCCAAAATTACGTCGCAGAACTAATTTAGGTTTGATTTTAGGAGGGCGTAGTTTATACGAAAGGAAAAGTAAATCGTGATAAGAGAATGCATCAGCAGGACACTGTCCATGCTTGAAAACTAGGTTTGAAGATGACACGATAATTAAGTCCAGAAGGGAAGGAGTACAGTTTGGAAATTTGTGAGTAGCAGCAAGAGGTAGGATTTGCATATTACACGCTTCAATTATAGACTCAAGTTTTATTGCCCGATTGTCACCTTTAAGTAAACAGGTGTTGAAGTCACCCATCAAAATAGTATGACTATATGTAGGGACTAGTGATTCTAAAAGAGATTCAAAAGAAGTAAAATAGTTTATAGAAAGAGAGGGACTGTAGAAAACTCCAAGTAGGATTTTATTCTGAGACAGGGAGACCTCAACTAGCAAATGCTCAGCATTCATTTATGAAAATTTTATTTATTTATTTCTGCTTTGTTTGTATACCAAGTACAAAAAGGCGAATTTAATGCCATAAGGCATTCTCTACCAATCTTCCAGAGTAAGCAGTAATCCAAATATTTTATACAAAAATATCTGATGTCATATAAGATTTCATTTGAAACATGAAAAAGAAACGTGATTGTGACAATTTTATTAACATAAATAGTTACAATAAAGTATACACAAAGTAAATATCAATTTTGATTTAAAAACGTCCACTCGTAAAATTTACAATAATAGCTTTTGTTTTCATCGGTATTATACTAATTGTAAAACTAAAAAAAAAAAAAACAAAGATAAAAATTAAACTTGATCTACCTAAAATTTGCCTTCTTTACTATCTTCCTTTATATTTAGAACCGGCTATGGCCTGTAAAGTGAAGAATTGTTTTAGTGCACTAAATATCTTCGCATAGTACTTGGCGGAGTTGAGTGACGTATCAGATTTAATTTTTCTGCATCTTATTTTTCTGCCGCCTGGAATACGCAAGTTCCTTTGCTTACATAAAACAAAAACAAATAAAAATACAGGTGTCTATGCAAAGGCTCGATATTTACATGTTCTTACCATCTCGTATCTCATTTCTTCGTTGATGCGCTCGTACAGATCCGCTGGTATATCATTCTCTGTAACATCTTGGAGAACATACTTCAGCTGTGATGTTCTATGGTCCAAATTAAAAACAATAAATTAAAAAAATCTAATGTTTAAGAAAACAGAACGATAGGTATGTACGTTTACTCGTAAATGCCAAAAAGCTCATAGAATTAACAACCGTTGAAGAAAAAAAAATACAAAATAGTACCGAACCTTCATAAATCCCATAGCACACTGTGATTTTATGATCTTAATAAGACTAGAGGTTGGTGCTCAAATGACAAGCAATTAATTAAGTGGACTTTTTCATAAGGGCCATATAAGCACGTTGAAAATGAGAACAATTTCTCTTTATGTATACTTATAAGTTTTTTTCTCTCGAGTGATATATATGAATGTTAATTAGCGTACTTAGTTAACAAACGTAAATTTCCCGATACCGATAAATTTCTGTGCTTGAGATTATTTAAAAAAATAACTTTATATTTAATGATTTATATATAGTTTATTAACTACCAGTTGAACTTCATGAAAATTTATTTTGCTACTAAAATATTATCTTTTATTAGTTTATTACGTTAACGTTTATTTTGATATAGCGTCCTATGCTCTTAAGTTGATTACACTTTTATTACATGCGCTCGTTATGTTTCCAGCATATTATTGGCTTATGTAGATCAAATTTAAGCCTAAACATGTCTCACATGCCTAAACATGTGTTCAGAAGATACCGTCATCTTCTCATTTCTGGGAGAGAAAAGGAGAGAGATATTGTGACAGTTAATTTGTCGTGAAGCCTTAGTGCCGACTGGCAAACTTCACATGTCTTCCTCAAACGTGAACGCAGATTCCCTCACGATAGTTTCCTTCACCGCTGAACACATGATAGATCAGCACTTAAAAGTACAGTTTACTAGCGCTAGGGGGAACAAAATCCTGATGGCTCAAGTACTGTGAAATTTATGGCAAGCGTTTAGCCCCTGGGGTACCACGACTCTAATTAATAATCTTATTAACAGTCATTGTCAGTTTTTTAAGTAAAAATTAAAAATTATTTTTATTATACGAAAGAGCTTTCAAGTACAATTGAATTAAACTAAAACTATACATTTTAATCTGTTACATAATAGCTCAAAAAAAGAAAAATATTAATTGTTTAAGCCATTTTTTCTACAGGTTTTTCAAAATCCAACAGACCATATTTAAGATTAAAGATAATTTAGTTATATGAAACTAACCTAACTTTATAAGGAAAAATCATTGACTATTGAATTTAGGAACAACCGCGTAAAATAGCAGCGTAATGCTACTTTCTTCGTATGGTGAGTGCAGAGAACCGGAGACCCTTTTTACAGGAAACGAGGCATTCCATTATAGTCCGCAGGGGTGACAACGCATTTGCATTTTGATTCTTAATTGAGGATAGATGTTGATGTCTATGGACCACAGCATGCACTTACCATCAGGTGGACTGTGTGCTCGTTCGTCACACAATGCTATAAAAAAACTTTTAAAAAATTATTAATTAGAGTTAGATAAAAGCTACAGACATCATCTCTAGTGCCGCATACCACTTTCATCAACACTCAAACGTCGTCTGCGTCTCTGTTTAATAATTCCTTTTACTTTAATAATTTTGCTTAATAGTATTTTTAACGGATAAGCTTTTTTACATAAAACAAGCGTTAATAGCGTTGTTATTCGATCGTGAAAGATGCAATAAAAGATAAGAAATGCTATAAAAATCGATTCTAGCATTTTTATAATTATCTTCTAAAGCTTTCGATAGATGGCGGTAAAACCATTTTAACTACGTTAGGTGGAACATATTCAATATGGCGACGGGCGGCAGTGTCAAAGGTCACTCACACACACAAAAGGACACACACACAAGACAAGTCCTCTCACAGCGGGAAAGGCCCATGGCCAGCAGTAGACTCGCACGGGCCAATAAAAAGATGACATGGCATTCACTTACTGTATGTAAATAAGCATATACGCGCTTGTTGCACGTCTTGCTAAATATGGTGCATCTTCCTTTCCGCCAAAATTGTACTCGATGGCTTCTTTTTTTCTACAGCGTGATACTACATCGTCATCAAATTTACACCACTGTAATCGTATTTTACATATAAAATTGTCACTAATATTTAAATTATTTAAGCTTATTTTGATGTAGAATAGCAATAAAAATTGTTTCCGTTACCTTTCCATCGCCCTTGGGATTGATAAACACTACATAATGACCTCCATGGTTATCACCGGAATGAACCAAAACTGCATGCAACGTATAATGTGCTGGTACTTTCGGTATCTCCTGAAGATATGGATCCAAGTTAATCTCTTCATAAAATTCGAACCTATTGCAACAAGAATTTTATTTAAATTTGCTTAGCATATGTAATGTGAAATTAAGAATCTGAATTAACTACTATATTTCATGGGGCATGCGTCTCCATCCGCTCTGAATCCATTATTAAAAGTTTTCTTATTAAAATACACAAACTAACAAATAAGGTTCTAAGGTAACAAATAATATTACGCGTAAAGGCAAACAATATAACAAATAATAAAAAATAACCTGTCATTAAATTTGACAGACGCATCGCTTTGTGGGTCGTATTGAAACCTCATAAGGTGCAGATGTAGTACAGGAGGAAACTCGTCAAATCGCACTCCTTTCTCAGCTTCCTGCAAGCCGTGCTCCCCAGCATCATATTTATTCTCACCATCTAATGTTTCTGTGCTAATGTAGTCTTTAAATGACTCGTAAACTATAAAACAAATAAGAACAAAATAAAACAATACTGGTGGTAAACATACCGTGGGTGAAGACTACCTACACAAATCATATATATATATATATATATATATATATATATATATATATATATATATCAATATCTGGTCAGTGCTATTCCTTAATAATTACAGAGTTATCCTTAATAATGCGTATTTAATAGACTTCGACTACATTGATGATGTTCTCATTTTATTTATATTGAGATCGGTTATATCAAATTTTTGTTTCTTATAGTTGTTATATTACAAAAAGGAAGCAACATAAATTAGATAAAGGTAACAGGAGCCATTTTAAGACATACTCGTACTATGAACATTTAAAAGAAGAACATTTTTGCATTATACACTTACGGTTGTTTTTTCCTTTAACGCTTAATTGAATATCATAAAACGTTTCTACTCGAGTGCTACTGCAATTTACATTTTTGCATTTAATAAAAGATGTCATCTTCCCTTCAAAAAGCTTTGGTACTGTTCCTTCCACTAAAGTACCCTTCATTTTATTTTCTAGCTTATCTAATAAAACCTGCGAAAATATCAGAGTATTATTTTTATAATATACCAAAATAATAGACATTAAGGAACTTACTCGTAAAAACTCTTGGACATCATGTTGCATAAATGAATCTAATGTCTCCCAGCCAAAACTCTTCGTTAGTTTTTTTGTTGCAACTGGTTTCTCGGAAAATTGGAGATCAAAGAAAACGCGTTGAAGTGCAAATGCGACAGATCTCGAACTATCATCTCCTACAGTGGGAATTTTGTAGACCGCCTTGCGTAAAACATTGGTAAAGAAGAGGGTTTGTAAAAGGGAGTTCATGTAACATGTTGCACCTTGATTTTTTAAGCCTTAAACAAAAAGGTATTATTTACTTCCAGGTTCATACTGCTTAAGTGTTACATATGATTTTTTTCTTGGTTACCGACGTATCCAGTATGTTTTTTAGAATCCCAGGAAACACCATGAGGTGCCTCTGCAACAACATGTACTTCAACTGTTATTGAGTCATCTTTTACAAAACCATTTTCAGAGTCCATCAGATCCTTCCAAGAAATGAAATGTGCAAAACCCCAATCATCTTCTTTACTGCATAAAAATATTTGTTTAGATTATTAATTCTATAAACCATATTTCGGAAAAATGTGAATAGTCCTTTATAATATTAATGAACATCTTAATTTATGTACTTTACTATACCTGTGATACATGTGATGAATTTTTCTACACAGATGCTCACCATCATGTTTGTAAGATAAAAGTTTTATTTCACCCAATCCATAACATGACCAACCCGGTGAATCACAATCACCATTACATTGAATGAAAACTCCAAGAGCTTTTTGTTGCTGACGATCGGGAGTTGTAGTGTTACGGATAAGAACAAGAATTTTCCATGGTAGACACCTAATGTAACACGGCGGTGATAGAACCTGTTCTTTCATCTGGCTTATATTTTTAACCGTAAATCGAAATGTTGCTTCAGGCCGGGCAGTATCATCGTCTTCATTTGTTACTTCCTAAAATATATTTATACCAATTTTGGATGTGATTGTTTATAGCAGCTTAATAAATCTGACTAAAGTAAAAACTATTGTAAGTAATTTGTAAATATATGACAAATAAATAACAAAACTTGAAAACAACTTCGAATACGATATTTACCAACTGGTAGGTGAAATTGATAATATAATAATTAGAAAACATTCTTATCCAGTAAATATAGAAAATAAAAACGTTGCACTGTTCTTACCGCAGTTATCGGAAGTAAATTGGATGTTGTATTAGCGGTACTTCCAGTTTCAATCATTGTAGTAGCAAAATTATTGCTTGTAAATTTGACAATAAATCATTTAACAAACAAATCCTTGTAAACTTATTAAACAAAAAGTTTGTCGTTGTACGTAATACTTTGTTGATATGCTTTATTTAAAAGCAAATTAATGCTATGATTATGTAGTTATTGTTATACGATTTGTTTTAATAAAAAGTACATACTGTTTGTTATCAAATTAATACACAAATTTTGTAAGGTTTGGGCCGATGACATGTGTCAATTTATGAATTTTTCAGGTAAATTTACTTTTCGAATTTTAAAAGGAAGAATAAGGTTTTATTATTAAATGCTGAGGCCGCATCTGTATCTATCGCCATAAAGTGTCACAATACACGCGGATGTAACACGCGGACTATTATCGGCTATCGTCGCGAACATTCGGGCTGCGTGTGCGTGTGCGAGTGCTATCGCGCGGGTGGCGGTACATCAAAAGGTTTTAGCGCGTCAACTTATAGCGCTGCATAGTCAGACTAGCGTATCATTCTTCTTGTTCATTTCGGCCGTTGTTTTTAGCAGTTCAGACGCATGCAGGTGGCTGTGTAAAAATGAAGTGGAGTGATGAAATGGTACTGGAAACGCTCATTTTAGATTTTAGGTTTCTTCTTTTTAGATTTTAATAAATGAATTACGTAACTGTTAGCACACATGAAGAAGTAAAGAAATTCGTCGTCCGTAGTAAAAAAAACGTTTGAAAACGATTTCAGCCATCTTCGATTATTGCACGATAGTTCATGCAAATATCAAAGCCGCTAAAATATGACCAAAGCTTTTATCGCGATAACTTTTTAGTGTCGAACGAATCTTCGTCGAATCTTTTTAGTGTACGAAGCTTCGGCACGCATTACTTCGGGACGATACACGCAAATGCGGCCGAAGCAAAACAGGGCCAGAAAAATGTATGGCTTCTGATAAATGGTGGCATTCTAGCGCGTATATCAGATCCAGAAATGTAACCAAAAATACCCAGTGCGTAGACAGGGAACAGTATCAAGGGTGCAACACGTCCGGTAGTGTGATCTTCCATCCACTTGCCAAATGTGATGATTAAGACATATCCTCTCTACAAAAAGAGAGACCCCTATCCAGCAGTGAAAATTTACGAGCTGATTACCACAAAAATGTAAAGAACGGAACAAACTCGTGCGTATGCATTTTTCGTCTTCTACGAATTTTATTTTAATTATTAATGTTTTGTCATATTGTTAAGTCCATTCAAATTGTTGGATAAGATTCTGATGTAACATACACATCATGTCCAAAATGATTAATTTTATGTTCTTGTTTTCTGAAAATAAATAAGAAATCACTCCAAGGCTCCAGCGACACGCAGCGACTTGCATGCACCAAAAATTTGTGCAAAAAATTTGCGCAAACAACAGTGCACCGTACAATGTCCATACGATAGCATCTTGCTTGCAGAAACCGTTTGTATAAAGTTTCTGCAAAGAACATATGTGGCGTCCACACGCTATCTAAACGTACATGCTTCTTTGTGCAACTTTATTTTCCGCAAATTCAGCATTTGTGCAAGCTATACCGTTTTTGCGGCTTGACGTAGATAGCTGAGATAGTGAAAATTAGAATTTTTGCGAGTAAGATTGAGTGAGTGAATTAGAGAGAAGAGAAGTAATTATAGCTTAAATCCCCTAGCATTGCTTTCGATCTGTTCGTAAAATTTCATCACAATCGGTTCAGCCATTACAAAGATCTGTCTGTTTGTCTAGATAGAGCCGTGGTAGCTCAGATGATTAACGCTCGCTGTAGTGCTTGTAGCTTAAGTGCTGATTTTCCACGTGCTCGGCGGTGGAGGAAAACATCGTGAGGAAACTTTCATGTCTGAGGAATAAGAAAAAAATATTTCGAATACATGTGAAATTCGCCAACACGCATTGGGGCCGCGCGGCGGACACTTCCTTGCCCTAAAACCCTCTCAGAAATGAGGGGAGACCTATGCCGAGCAGTGGGACGCATATAGGATGTAACTTTACTTTACTTTATTTTTTCGAAGATAAACCCGGACAGACGGATAGGATTTTTATGAGGGTTGTTTATGTCTTCATATCATGCAAATAACCCCTAAACTTAACCCATATTTTCCCAAGGTATTTAATTCATAAAGTCTCTCAACTTCCCCCTTGTACTCGTATTATATAACTGATAACAATGTCTTTGATCGACGGCCACTCGTTTATTGTTGCACAATCTCTTCACCTTCTCCAACTGAGGCAAAAGTAACGATGTATGTATTGTAGCGCACTTAAGACGTTTTCGATAAAATATCCGCTACCTGATGGTAGGAACCCCCGTAAACCTTGTAGCCTTTTTATCCCCATCATAGCTTCTAGCGGTGCACCTTCCACATTTTTGGTTCGAATCATTCCAGTGATATCATGATCCACCTGACTTACTTCATCAAGTAATCGTAAAAATGTAAAGAAGTTATATCAATATAAAAACCACAATGATCATCAGACAGCTTGGAAATCAACTTTGTCGCTCCAGAAATATATACGCCGAGATTTGAGTATTGTATTTCCAGTTTTAGCTCCCTGGTAAGGTTCACCATATACGAGTATAAGATACCAAATCGCGTGCAGAGTAAGCAAATTTTATATTCGAAATGAATTGCTTTGGCGTATACGTACTGCTTAGTTCCATATTGTCCGAAATGAGGTATCGTCGAGTCATTACCAGATTAATGTTTATCTACTGGAAAATATTTCAGTCACCTTTTATTCATCACATCACTCAGAGGTCTTGCTTTGCCAAATTTATGATCAGGAGGAAAGCGACTGTTATCGCATTCATAAAAATATCTTATTTGCTCATCATATCAATTACGTGTCATATATGATATATGAGGTAACTTCTGGATGATGAGTATCAATACTCTGATTACAATACAATCTGTAGCGCTATGTGTTGTTGTAACCTGATAAAAATACGTCAAAATGGAGTCTCTTGCTCGTAGCGCATCTTCAGGGGCGTTAAACGAAACTTTCCAAGGACCACATATAAAACAAAATATCATTTTTTTTTCAATGTTTTTAGTAAAAGAATAATTATTTATTATATATAAATATAACTTCAAGTAAGTTCATCAACAATTATAAAAAAAGGGATAACTTATGTTATCCTCGAACTCATGTTAACCAAAATTCACACTATTAGAAAAACTGTTGAGTAGATACAAGTGCACGTTATCTTCAGCAAGCTTTTTAAATAGCGGGTATGTAGTCTATTTGATTCTAAAAATATTGTTTAATTTTACTTATTAAATAAACAGGTAGTGTGTGTACGTGTAAGTGTGCGTGTGGTTTTGCGTGTAAGTGTGCGTGTGCGGGTATGTATTCGTGTGCGTGGACGTGTGCGTATGCGTGTACGTGTGTGTATGTGTGCGTGGGTGCGTGCCTCCATAGAAGCCGAAAAGCCAGGCTTGCCCTTTCAGACTGCTCAATCAATAATATCAACTAATAACATAACTCGTAAACTGTTTCAATTATCCTCGTAACCTTATTATGTAACGTCAACACTTGACAGTTCGCTTTCAATTCGAAATACATTGATTCGTCTTCTCTCTGTCTCAAAGCGAAAACGCAATGGACTGTCAAAATTAATGAAAGTGTAACGCTTCCCCCCCTCTCATAGTAATAAATATATTAGATTAAATATAATTAATTCTCCTTTATAATAAAAATTATATATATGTGACTAGGATAAATAAAATATGTTTTGGTCTTTCTAAATGATCTTTCTAAAGGTTTAATAATAGGCCGTTTGTAATATTTTGGCGTGATCGTCTTAGTTAGAACCCTTATTTACGTTGTGTTTGTTTAGTAACTTAGTTCTTTTAGGTGTCTTTTGGAAGAATAAATATTCGCTAGAGCAATTAAAAGCTGTTGGTAGTGCCTTATAAGCTAAGGGAACCCCGTTCACGAAGACAGGGCTCGAGAAAGGTTAAGAGCATAAAACGTCCCAATTCCACTTGTATCAGGTTTACATTATTAATTTAATATTATTTATCCCTTCCCGCTCGGAAAAGGATCAAAATATATTTATACAAAATACCCGATACAAGGGCTTCGCTCTCCTACATTTATTAAAAAAATGTAGGGGAGGCACACGGCCCCACACACGCCGTGCACGGTGAGCGCCAACCATTTTGATGCACTCCCCCGAAGGGAACGCTAATTCGGGAACTGGACCGTAGTCCACAGCAAAATAACTGGCGAACCAGTAAAAGAGGCTTGGCCCCTTGCTAGTGCGTAAGCACAAACATCGACCGAAGTCGCGCATGTCAATGCGTGTAAACGCCAAACAGAATACGAACGAATCCAGCCACAGTGAATGTACGTCACACGGTTTAGGCAAATAGGCACACTGGCCGTAAACCCTCCGTGAGCGCCACCACCTGTCAGACCGCCGCTCCTGCAGACGTGATGTAAGTGTATGGCATCACCACCAATTGCATGATCAGCACGGCTACTAGCCGCAGAGCGTGTCATGAGTCTACCGCTCACCTCAAGGGAATGGGGTCCCACGTTGTGCGGCTTTCGGCTGCAGCCTTGAGAGTCTCCTCAGATCCTCCCGCCAGCTACCACCAGCATGAGGTCGACACATATGCTCCACCAACCAATACAACGGCAGATATAGCCAAAAGGCAGTTATAAGATAAGAGTAATAATTCGCCATCAGAAAGGGTTTGTGTCACTGACGTTGAGTAAATGCATTTTCGATCATGTTTGTTTCACCCACCAACAAGTTGCCTTCAATCATTCAAAGGTGGGAAAGTTACAGAGATATAATATTATGTTGTTATATAAAACATCGTGGAGGGCAGACAGTCTGCAGCCCCGCAATGAAGGGACCCGACTTGGGCAAAGCTACTTAGGTGTGAGTCAAACCAAGACGCAGAGAGCTCCATTGAGAATAGCGTCCCATCAAACAACCATCGCAGAGACGCAATGCTGCAG